AAGCAATTACTAAAGGCTTAATAATTAAAAAAGTGAGCATCTTATTAATAGCTTATTTTAAATGTTCATGACCACTTTGGTTCCTAAACATTTGGCTTGAATCTCAGCAATGTTTGTAAACCTTAGCACCCCCACCACAATAAAACCGTTTAAATAATACACCAGTGTCTCTATCCACTTGCTACATTCATTTATGTTTTTTACTTGGCTGTCAATTTCTTTTTCCTCTTATACATAGTATTTGGAGAAAGTATTATTTTCGTCAAAATATTTGACTGAGTATTTGGTGAAAATGTCCGTTTTGGGACCCCCTGAATGAAAAAAAAACAAAAAAAACGAGGCCTACTGATCTTAAAGCTTAAAACTTTTTTCATTAGACACGGTTGTGCAATAGACATTGTCAAAGAAAACTATAAACTAGAAAATGTAACAGAGTCATGAACATTATTACAGTAGACCTTATGTAACATACATGAAAAACTCTGTGTTTGTGTCTGTGTGTGTGTTTGTGTATATGGATGTGTACAGAGCTACAGACTACAAATGTGGTCTGATTTTGATGAAATTTGGTATGAGGGTACTAACCCATGGTATCTCCAGGTTTTTTTAAATTTCAAATTTTTTAATGGTGATTTTCCCCAAAAAATACATAAAATAACCGAAAAATCGGTTCTCCTACTAATGAGATGTTTACTGAATTAAAGTTTAAGTTATAATACAGGGTTTTCATAAAATAATGGTGGGGTTTAGTTATGAAATTAAAAAGAAAACTATTTATTTTGTTGAATTCCTGACATCAAAAAGATTTTATACATAGTTAAGTTACAGTCTAACCTTGATATAACGAACCTCGATATAACGAATTCCTTGATTTAACGAATTTTTTTGAAATCCCCTAGAACTCTCCATAAGACACAATGTATATTTTACCTCTACATAACGAACAAACCATATAAACGACCTTGATTTAACAAATTTTTCATGATCCCAGCTAAAATAAGACACCTCAATATAACGAATTTATCATTGTCAGAACCTCTACATAGCGAATTTAACCTCTACTTAACAAATTGTCTGCGTCTCTCCCTCAATACAACGAACCCCCCCCCTCATTATTGTTTTTGAAAAATCAGTTTCTTCATCAAATGAAATGGAAAGGTGACATCAACGCTTGCGCTAACATTCGTCTGCTCCGTTTTATCCCTGTCTGCTGTCGTCGCTGCATGCGCGCTATGTTACTTTTTAACTGAGAACTGATTTCATTCACTGAGGACTGATGACGACGTAATGTGTAGTAAGCTGTGATTGGGTGATAAGTAACTATGGTGACTTGTACAATTTTTGGATGAAGAGAATCCTAAGAAAGAAAAAAAATAGAAGAACAAAGCAAAGAGAATAACAACATCGTTATCTTAACATTCCTTTTACGAGTGTTTTTATTAATCTTTAAGTTGGTTATGATTATACACTTTAACGACTTATCTACTATTTTTATTATTTTCAATACGATTTGTTTAAACTAAGGCAACACCAATGCTATAGTTGATGATTATTACAGTATTGACATTCCTCTGTTGTGATTTAAAGCAGCACTGTAAGCCTACCGGCCTATCACGCAGTAGCTTACAAAACTCCCTACTGTTTTGTTCATTACAAGGTTTATTGCTATACAATACAGTGTTTAGCTAGGTTTTAGGTGAATTAGATAAGGTCAACGACTAGAAATGTCATGATTGCGCAATATTAAAGATCCCTCCCCTTTAGTAGGCCTACCCCGGATAATCGAGGTTCTACTTAACAATGTAAACAGTGTACTGTAAAGTATTGTAGCCTAGGCTACTTTAATTGTGTTTGTGAGTCAAATCCCGACCTATATTGACTGACGCTGGTTCTGAACCTCGACTTAGCAAAATTCCTGCAAACCTAACCTCAATATAACGAACCTCGTTTTAACGAAATCCTTGATATAACGAATATTCAGTTCGGTCCCTTCAGATACGTTATACCGAGGTTGGACTGTAATAAGCTTAAACATAACAACCATTTATTGCTCTACAGACGTCCAGACGATCTATTTTAGCCCAAACGTGCAAAATTTTTCTTGTTACAATGGGGACTGCATCTCTGGTTCATTCTAGTAGATGTGGGCTAAATTCTAAATTTTTTTTTAAGAATAAACTATGTTTTTGACATCCTAAATGGTCGTTGTACTAGAGTCACTGACTTTTAGTTCACTTAGTTACACACTTAGCCTTTTGTTGACAGAAAACATGTTTATAAGAGAGTGAAAATTTAAAAACGTACGTTTTCATGTCCCTGGCCTTTTACTTCGTAGATACTGGATTTGCAGTTTATTATTATGTGTTTTAATATTTTTTGGGACGGGGGCAACATGTTACACACATTTATTTGGTTTTAAATAGGTTCTAGGTATTTTTTTCGTATTTTTAAAGTCTCAAAATTCACGACCATGACGTGTCCCTAGGGTACATTTTCCAACTTTCACGCTGTTTTTAGACTAATTATTCATGCCGAAATATATAAAGCCATATTTTTATGTCATCAATGGTTATTAAACTTACAAAAAAGGAGCATATTATAATTTTATTGTCATTGCAAACTGACTACCATGACAAAATAAGTCTGTCCCTCGATTTGGCGTCACGACCATTTGGGAAAAATTTTCAACTTTGGAGCACGACAGTGGCAAGCCTGGCGTCGATGGAGTCAGTTGGTTTGAGAGACTAGTTCGGGGTGTACGTCAGGATTGTAGTGCCCGTCGTTTCGAGTTGAAAGGAGGAATTACAAGATTAATAAAGGAAATATTGTGTTTTTTGTAATTTTGGTGTGTCCATGACCGTACGTAGTCATTCGATGAAGTAGACATGGTGTTAATTTTTGTTTATAAGATATTTCAATTTCTAGATTAACCTAGAAGTCCACTTTGTATCCTCATACATGAGGTGCAGGGCTACCGCCAGAACAGAGCCAAATAACACGTAATTTCACGACCAAAGTTTCACGACCATCGCGGGTTTTTTCACGACCAATCCAGCCTTATGGATTATAGTGTGTTTGGTCGTGACAATAACTTTAATATAATTGTAAATTGAACAGTTTAGTTAAATTGAAACACATATTTTTATTATAACTAGCAGTATAATTGAAGGATTGCTTAGAAAGATTTAAATTATTCCAGACAATTCACGACCGTACCGCTTGTCCCTGACCATCATGTTTATGATTTCTATCATAACAATTTCAGAAATTAAAATATCGTCATATTTCAATGATTTATACACAAAAGAAGCACACCTCTATACAAACATAACGATTTTTCGGGTCTCAGGTAAGTTTTTTCGTAGTTATACAAACTTAAAAAGATTTTATTGGCTTTTTTTCAATTTTTTTAGTTTTTTTATTTTTTCTGGAAAGACCAAATACACCAAAAGCTTAGTGACCTTTTTATTGTATAATGGTCTTAAAAGTAAATTAGTTTATAGCAAAACATAGTTATAAAAATAATATTAACTATTTTTAATATTCATTTAAACGTCCGTTATGGTCGTGACAGGATTTTGTGTTTTTCCACTAAAGATGCTCTTTTAAAAAATAACTACCAAAGATATTGCGTTACCATGGACATTTTATGAAACTTAAAATGTTAATGAAATTTAAAAAATAATAAAAGTTTTTAAAAAAGGGGAAAAAAATTTGCAAAGTGCTTTTCCTGAAAACGTACGTTTTTAAATTTTCACTCAAGAACATACAACTTGAAGTTTATTTAAAAGATAAGTAGGGTCAATTGGCACAACAATCCACACAGCTCTTTTACTCGTAATTCATGTAAACTTAAAAACTAAACTGTTTTTTGAGCTACCGGATCGAGGGGTATCAATATGAAATATTTAATAGTTTTACAGACAGTTAAAACTAATAATAAGTTAAATTTTATGAAAACACTGTGTTAGAAGTACTCTATGTATACTCTCTACTGCCTGCCATTTGAGGATAAAATCATATGTCTTATTAATTGTTATGATCTTTTTACTTACTTGTTTACATTTTATCAGTTTTTGTTCTCAACCATATTAATAACCCATCAATTGTTTTTCATCTCCTTTATTTAGTAAAATCTAATCAATCTTACTATCTATCAACACACTGTATTTACCTGAAATGCTGAAAAGTTCAAATGGTATTCCTGCATCTGAAGAGGTACTATAGTATTTGCAGAAAAATACCTTCAGCTACTTGTCCAAAATGCAAACTGCATGCTGAAGGTGTAATTAGACCTTCAGGTATTTAGACCCTCAGCCACTCTCATTGTATAAACATTTAATTAGAAAATGTGTGCCCAAGTTATAAATCCCGCAAGGTCTAAAACATAACAGTAAGTTTTCTTGGATATGTTTTGTTTTGGATAAGCTTTCTTCATTGACTGTACTTTTAGACCTTCGGCTACTGCCTGTTTTTACCTTCAGCAACAAGTACAGAATGCAAAATGTGTGGTGAAGGTCTAATTAGACCTTCAGGTATTTAGACTCTCAGCCACTCTCATTTTTTAATCATGTAATTAGAAAATATAGGTTTTTTTTTATTATCAATAAATTGGTTGTGTACCCAAGGTATAAATCCCAAAAGGTCTAAAACATAACAGTATAAGTTTTCTTGGATAAGTTTTCTTCATTGACTGGGTTCGGTTACTGCCAGTTTAGACCTTCAGCAACAAGTGCAAAATGCTAAATGTGTGTCGAAGGTATATTTAGACCTTCCGGGATTTAGACCTTCAGTAAATGATCCACTGATCCCCCTCCCCATGGCCTTATATTCTACAATGTTCAAGGTGAAATTTCCGCACAGTGCTCGCCGTTTGAGCACATCATTGCTCATCACAGATACATTTCTTTGCTTGTTATCCATAAGCTTGCACTCTCTACATTACTTTTCTGTGTTAAATAGTATCCTCATCAACAATGGATCAACTGATTACTTTTCAGGCCTCCAACGAGCAGCACATGAATCTTGTCAAGGAGATGGGCATCACGGTGGATATACTGAGTGATGGAAGGGTACAACTGCTGCATACATTCTCCAATGTAAGTATAAGGAAACCCCTCCAAACCATAGTCAATAGGCCTATAATGAATCGAGATATCAATATAATGAATGAAATATTTGTTATCATGATGTTATGTAACATCGCTCTCAATATATAAAACTCAAATTTCATGACTTGGACAGTAGTATGCGCCTAAGTTTTGCGTTCAGTCCAAGTAGAATATAAAGACTTATGTCAGCATTATTGAACGATGGTACGAATGAATGGTTATGAAACATGACATTAATTACCATTTTATTACTTTCTCCCCCTATACCATTGTATATGGAGAAAGTACCTATTGTTTTTGTCAAAATTTTTGAGTTTGTGTTGTTGGGTTTTCGAAGTGATGTCTGTGTGTGTGTGTCTGTATGTGTGGATGTGTACAGAGCTACAGACTACACCTGTGGTCCGATTATGATAAAATTTGGTTTGTAAATTTTTCATTTTTTATGAAATTTTGATTTTTAATATTGGTTTTCCTATGAAAACCCATAAAATAACGGAAACATCTGATTTTCTCAAAACTGGCCCGAACGATTTTGATAAAAATTTAGTATGTGTATGTGTAGTATGTGTATTTAGTATGTATCCCTTTAAATTCTGAACAAAATGAATATCTCTCATTTACTCTCATTTCTTTGAAAATTACAGTTCAAAAGTTATTGTATATTATGTTATTTCCCATAAAATAAGAGAAAATAGTATTTTTGAAAAACAACCGGTTTTGATTGAAATTAGTATCTGATAATCCTTATAAATCTTAACAAAATAGTGCAAACAACCATTGCTGTAAAAATTACGGTTCAACAAAAGTTATTGTAGTTATTGTAATTTTCCGATAAAACCCCATAAAAAACGGAAAAATAGATTTTTTTAAAAAACCAATTTTGATTAAAATTTGTCTGTTAAGGTTCTTATAATTCTAAACAAAATAGTGCAACCCCCCATTCCTGTAAAAATTACGGTTCAAAAGTTAATGCAACTTTTGTTATTTTACCTAATAAACTATCATAGTTAGTTACTCTCATAGCTTACCCAGGATAAAGATTGTTGACAAGCTAATGGGAGAAAGTATGTGTCAGATTGCTGACAATTGGTTCATCATAAGAGAATTCTCTGTTACCATCATGATCTTATAATTTGTTGTTTTAATGTGCTATTTTCAATAGTTTCATGGAAATTCCTTTCGTATGAATTTGTGGGGTCATTCTTTTTACACCCAATCACCAAGCAAAGAAGTACATAAAACAAAACTCAAAACTGTGAGCCATGGTTTTAGAAAAATGCTGTAAACTCTGCTAACCTCCAAAATAGTTTCAGGAAACAGATAAAGTCAAAGAAAAATCTATCATTGCTGTAGAACCTTTCACTTCCAAAAGGTAGCGAGAATATGAAAATCGTAAAATCATATAGCAATTCAATTCTTTAAGACAGCAACACACATTTTGGAGTGTATTTTAAATTGAATATAAATAAGGGTGATTGTAGAATAGATTGAGATGATCTGTGTAGTTTTTTTTTTATTGACTAATACCAGCTACTTCTTAGCAAGGACAATTTAAGCCAAATGATCAAGGACAGTTAGGTCCAGTTTGGAACACCCAAAATGTCAAATGTTGTTAACTACTCGAATAATCTGTATGTGATTGTTTTTGCTGAAGGCCAAGTCAGTGTCAGACGCAGAGGAAGGGCTGTTGTTTATGCAGGAGATGATGGAGCTGTCCAAGTCACAGAATGTAGACACTCTGCCACAGACTGTGAGGTACACAACTGCAGGAGAGACTGTGGCTCTCAACGCAGGTCCAGCTCACTTTGGCAAACAACTGACTGTCAGTGACCAGGTAAGCATCATTTAACATTGTCCAAGTCATAGAATGTAGACACTCTGCCACAGACTGTGAGGTACACAACTGCAGGAGAGACTGTGGCTCTCAACGCAGGTCCAGCACACTTTGGCAAACAACTGACTGTCAGTGACCAGGTAAGCATCATTTAACATTGTCCAAGTCATAGAATGTAGACACTCTGCCACAGACTGTGAGGTACACAACTGCAGGAGAGACTGTGGCTCTCAACGCAGGTCCAGCTCACTTTGGCAAACAACTGACTGTCAGTGACCAGGTAAGCATCATTTAACATTGTCCATGTCACAGAATGTAGACACTCTGCCACAGACTGTGAGGTACACAACTGCAGGAGAGACTGTGGCTCTCAACGCAGGTCCAGCTCACTTTGGCAAACAACTGACTGTCAGTGACCAGGTAAGCATCATTTAACATTGTCCAAGTCATAGAATGTAGACACTCTGCCACAGACTGTGAGGTACACAACTGCAGGAGAGACTGTGGCTCTCAACGCAGGTCCAGCTCACTTTGGCAAACAACTGACTGTCAGTGACCAGGTAAGCATCATTTAACATTGTCCAAGTCATAGAATGTAGACACTCTGCCACAGACTGTAAGGTAAACAACTGCAGGAGAGACTGTGGCTCTCAACGCAGGTCCAGCACACTTTGGCAAACAACTGACTGTCAGTGACCAGGTAAGCATCATTTAACATTGTCCAAGTCATAGAATGTAGACACTCTGCCACAGACTGTGAGGTACACAACTGCAGGAGAGACTGTGGCTCTAAACGCAGGTCCAGCACACTTTGGCAAACAACTGACTGTCAGTGACCAGGTAAGCATCATTTAACATTGTCCAAGTCATAGAATGTAGACACTCTGCCACAGACTGTGAGGTACACAACTGCAGGAGAGACTGTGGCTCTCAACGCAGGTCCAGCTCACTTTGGCAAACAACTGACTGTCAGTGACCAGGTAAGCATCATTTAACATTGTCCAAGTCATAGAATGTAGACACTCTGCCACAGACTGTGAGGTACACAACTGCAGGAGAGACTGTGGCTCTCAACGCAGGTCCAGCTCACTTTGGCAAACAACTGACTGTCAGTGACCAGGTAAGCATCATTTAACATTGTCCAAGTCATAGAATGTAGACACTCTGCCACAGACTGTGAGGTACACAACTGCAGGAGAGACTGTGGCTCTCAACGCAGGTCCAGCTCACTTTGGCAAACAACTGACTGTCAGTGACCAGGTAAGCATCATTTAACATTGTCCAAGTCATAGAATGTAGACACTCTGCCACAGACTGTGAGGTACACAACTGCAGGAGAGACTGTGGCTCTCAACACAGGTCCAGCTCACTTTGGCAAACAACTGACTGTCAGTGACCAGGTAAGCATCATTTAACATTGTCCAAGTCATAGAATGTAGACACTCTGCCACAGACTGTGAGGTACACAACTGCAGGAGAGACTGTGGCTCTAAACGCAGGTCCAGCACACTTTGGCAAACAACTGACTGTCAGTGACCAGGTAAGCATCATTTAACATTGTCCAAGTCATAGAATGTAGACACTCTGCCACAGACTGTGAGGTACACAACTGCAGGAGAGACTGTGGCTCTCAACGCAGGTCCAGCTCACTTTGGCAAACAACTGACTGTCAGTGACCAGGTAAGCATCATTTAACATTGTCCAAGTCATAGAATGTAGACACTCTGCCACAGACTGTGAGGTACACAACTGCAGGAGAGACTGTGGCTCTCAACGCAGGTCCAGCACACTTTGGCAAACAACTGACTGTCAGTGACCAGGTAAGCATCATTTAACATTGTCCAAGTCATAGAATGTAGACACTCTGCCACAGACTGTGAGGTACACAACTGCAGGAGAGACTGTGGCTCTCAACGCAGGTCCAGCTCACTTTGGCAAACAACTGACTGTCAGTGACCAGGTAAGCATCATTTAACATTGTCCATGTCACAGAATGTAGACACTCTGCCACAGACTGTGAGGTACACAACTGCAGGAGAGACTGTGGCTCTCAACGCAGGTCCAGCTCACTTTGGCAAACAACTGACTGTCAGTGACCAGGTAAGCATCATTTAACATTGTCCAAGTCATAGAATGTAGACACTCTGCCACAGACTGTGAGGTACACAACTGCAGGAGAGACTGTGGCTCTCAACGCAGGTCCAGCACACTTTGGCAAACAACTGACTGTTAGTGACCAGGTAAGCATCATTTAACATTGTCCAAGTCATAGAATGTAGACACTCTGCCACAGACTGTGAGGTACACAACTGCAGGAGAGACTGTGGCTCTCAACGCAGGTCCAGCTCACTTTGGCAAACAACTGACTGTCAGTGACCAGGTAAGCATCATTAAACATTGTCCAAGTCATAGAATGTAGACACTCTGCCACAGACTGTGAGGTACACAACTGCAGGAGAGACTGTGGCTCTAAACGCAGGTCCAGCTCACTTTGGCAAACAACTGACTGTCAGTGACCAGGTAAGCATCATTTAACATTGTCCAAGTCATAGAATGTAGACACTCTGCCACAGACTGTGAGGTACACAACTGCAGGAGAGACTGTGGCTCTCAACGCAGGTCCAGCTCACTTTGGCAAACAACTGACTGTCAGTGACCAGGTAAGCATCATTTAACATTGTCCAAGTCATAGAATGTAGACACTCTGCCACAGACTGTGAGGTACACAACTGCAGGAGAGACTGTGGCTCTCAACGCAGGTCCAGCTCACTTTGGCAAACAACTGACTGTCAGTGACCAGGTAAGCATCATTTAACATTGTCCAAGTCATAGAATGTAGACACTCTGCCACAGACTGTGAGGTACACAACTGCAGGAGAGACTGTGGCTCTCAACGCAGGTCCAGCTCACATTGGCAAACAACTGACTGTCAGTGACCAGGTAAGCATCATTTAACATTGTCCATGTCACAGAATGTAGACACTCTGCCACAGACTGTGAGGTACACAACTGCAGGAGAGACTGTGGCTCTAAACGCAGGTCCAGCACACTTTGGCAAACAACTGACTGTCAGTGACCAGGTAAGCATCATTTAACATTGTCCAAGTTATAGAATGTAGACACTCTGCCACAGACTGTGAGGTACACAACTGCAGGAGAGACTGTGGCTCTCAACGCAGGTCCAGCTCACATTGGCAAACAACTGACTGTCAGTGACCAGGTAAGCATCATTTAACATTGTCCATGTCACAGAATGTAGACACTCTGCCACAGACTGTGAGGTACACAACTGCAGGAGAGACTGTGGCTCTAAACGCAGGTCCAGCACACTTTGGCAAACAACTGACTGTCAGTGACCAAGTAAGCATCATTTAACATTGTCCAAGTCATAGAATGTAGACACTCTGCCACAGACTGTGAGGTACACAACTGCAGGAGAGACTGTGGCTCTCAACGCAGGTCCAGCACACTTTGGCAAACAACTGACTGTCAGTGACCAGGTAAGCATCATTTAACATTGTCCATGTCACAGAATGTAGACACTCTGCCACAGACTGTGAGGTACACAACTGCAGGAGAGACTGAAACGCAGGTCCAGCACACTTTGGCAAACAACTGACTGTCAGTGACCAGGTAAGCATCATTTAACATTGTCCAAGTCATAGAATGTAGACACTCTGCCACAGACTGTGAGGTACACAACTGCAGGAGAGACTGTGGCTCTCAACGCAGGTCCAGCTCACTTTGGCAAACAACTGACTGTCAGTGACCAGGTAAGCATCATTTAACATTGTCCAAGTCATAGAATGTAGACACTCTGCCACAGACTGTGAGGTACACAACTGCAGGAGAGACTGTGGCTCTCAACGCAGGTCCAGCTCACTTTGGCAAACAACTGACTGTCAGTGACCAGGTAAGCATCATTTAACATTGTCCAAGTCATAGAATGTAGACACTCTGCCACAGACTGTGAGGTACACAACTGCAGGAGAGACTGTGGCTCTCAACGCAGGTCCAGCTCACTTTGGCAAACAACTGACTGTCAGTGACCAGGTAAGCATCATTTAACATTGTCCAAGTCATAGAATGTAGACACTCTGCCACAGACTGTGAGGTACACAACTGCAGGAGAGACTGTGGCTCTTAACGCAGGTCCAGCACACTTTGGCAAACAACTGACTGTCAGTGACCAGGTAAGCATCATTTAACATTGTCCAAGTCATAGAATGTAGACACTCTGCCACAGACTGTGAGGTACACAACTGCAGGAGAGACTGTGGCTCTCAACGCAGGTCCAGCTCACTTTGGCAAACAACTGACTGTCAGTGACCAGGTAAGCATCATTTAACATTGTCCAAGTCATAGAATGTAGACACTCTGCCACAGACTGTGAGGTACACAACTGCAGGAGAGACTGTGGCTCTCAACGCAGGTCCAGCACACTTTGGCAAACAACTGACTGTCAGTGACCAGGTAAGCATCATTTAACATTGTCCAAGTCATAGAATGTAGACACTCTGCCACAGACTGTGAGGTACACAACTTCAGGAGAGACTGTGGCTCTCAACGCAGGTCCAGCTCACTTTGGCAAACAACTGACTGTCAGTGACCAGGTAAGCATCATTTAACATTGTCCATGTCACAGAATGTAGACACTCTGCCACAGACTGTGAGGTACACAACTGCAGGAGAGACTGTGGCTCTCAACGCAGGTCCAGCTCACTTTGGCAAACAACTGACTGTCAGTGACCAGGTAAGCATCATTTAACATTGTCCAAGTCATAGAATGTAGACACTCTGCCACAGACTGTGAGGTACACAACTGCAGGAGAGACTGTGGCTCTCAACGCAGGTCCAGCACACTTTGGCAAACAACTGACTGTCAGTGACCAGGTAAGCATCATTTAACATTGTCCAAGTCATAGAATGTAGACACTCTGCCACAGACTGTGAGGTACACAACTGCAGGAGAGACTGTGGCTCTCAACGCAGGTCCAGCTCACTTTGGCAAACAACTGACTGTCAGTGACCAGGTAAGCATCATTAAACATTGTCCAAGTCATAGAATGTAGACACTCTGCCACAGACTGTGAGGTACACAACTGCAGGAGAGACTGTGGCTCTAAACGCAGGTCCAGCTCACTTTGGCAAACAACTGACTGTCAGTGACCAGGTAAGCATCATTTAACATTGTCCAAGTCATAGAATGTAGACACTCTGCCACAGACTGTGAGGTACACAACTGCAGGAGAGACTGTGGCTCTCAACGCAGGTCCAGCTCACTTTGGCAAACAACTGACTGTCAGTGACCAGGTAAGCATCATTTAACATTGTCCAAGTCATAGAATGTAGACACTCTGCCACAGACTGTGAGGTACACAACTGCAGGAGAGACTGTGGCTCTCAACGCAGGTCCAGCTCACTTTGGCAAACAACTGACTGTCAGTGACCAGGTAAGCATCATTTAACATTGTCCAAGTCATAGAATGTAGACACTCTGCCACAGACTGTGAGGTACACAACTGCAGGAGAGACTGTGGCTCTCAACGCAGGTCCAGCTCACATTGGCAAACAACTGACTGTCAGTGACCAGGTAAGCATCATTTAACATTGTCCATGTCACAGAATGTAGACACTCTGCCACAGACTGTGAGGTACACAACTGCAGGAGAGACTGTGGCTCTAAACGCAGGTCCAGCACACTTTGGCAAACAACTGACTGTCAGTGACCAGGTAAGCATCATTTAACATTGTCCAAGTTATAGAATGTAGACACTCTGCCACAGACTGTGAGGTACACAACTGCAGGAGAGACTGTGGCTCTCAACGCAGGTCCAGCTCACATTGGCAAACAACTGACTGTCAGTGACCAGGTAAGCATCATTTAACATTGTCCATGTCACAGAATGTAGACACTCTGCCACAGACTGTGAGGTACACAACTGCAGGAGAGACTGTGGCTCTAAACGCAGGTCCAGCACACTTTGGCAAACAACTGACTGTCAGTGACCAGGTAAGCATCATTTAACATTGTCCAAGTCATAGAATGTAGACACTCTGCCACAGACTGTGAGGTACACAACTGCAGGAGAGACTGTGGCTCTCAACGCAGGTCCAGCACACTTTGGCAAACAACTGACTGTCAGTGACCAGGTAAGCATCATTTAACATTGTCCATGTCACAGAATGTAGACACTCTGCCACAGACTGTGAGGTACACAACTGCAGGAGAGACTGAAACGCAGGTCCAGCACACTTTGGCAAACAACTGACTGTCAGTGACCAGGTAAGCATCATTTAACATTGTCCAAGTCATAGAATGTAGACACTCTGCCACAGACTGTGAGGTACACAACTGCAGGAGAGACTGTGGCTCTCAACGCAGGTCCAGCTCACTTTGGCAAACAACTGACTGTCAGTGACCAGGTAAGCATCATTTAACATTGTCCAAGTCATAGAATGTAGACACTCTGCCACAGACTGTGAGGTACACAACTGCAGGAGAGACTGTGGCTCTCAACGCAGGTCCAGCTCACTTTGGCAAACAACTGACTGTCAGTGACCAGGTAAGCATCATTTAACATTGTCCAAGTCACAGAATGTAGACACTCTGCCACAGACTGTGAGGTACACAACTGCAGGAGAGACTGTGGCTCTCAACGCAGGTCCAGCTCACTTTGGCAAACAACTGACTGTCAGTGACCAGGTAAGCATCATTTAACATTGTCCAAGTCATAGAATGTAGACACTCTGCCACAGACTGTGAGGTACACAACTGCAGGAGAGACTGTGGCTCTCAACGCAGGTCCAGCTCACTTTGGCAAACAACTGACTGTCAGTGACCAGGTAAGCATCATTTAACATTGTCCAAGTCATAGAATGTAGACACTCTGCCACAGACTGTGAGGTACACAACTGCAGGAGAGACTGTGGCTCTCAACGCAGGTCCAGCTCACTTTGGCAAACAACTGACTGTCAGTGACCAGGTAAGCATCATTTAACATTGTCCAAGTCATAGAATGTAGACACTCTGCCACAGACTGTGAGGTACACAACTGCAGGAGAGACTGTGGCTCTCAACGCAGGTCCAGCTCACTTTGGCAAACAACTGACTGTCAGTGACCAGGTAAGCATCATTTAACATTGTCCAAGTCATAGAATGTAGACACTCTGCCACAGACTGTGAGATACACAACTGCAGGAGAGACTGTGGCTCTCAATGCAGGTCCAGCTCACTTTGGCAAACAACTGACTGTCAGTGACCAGGTAAGCATCATTTAACATTGTCCAAGTCATAGAATGTAGACACTCTGCCACAGACTGTGAGGTACACAACTGCAGGAGAGACTGTGGCTCTCAACGCAGGTCCAGCTCACTTTGGCAAACAACTGACTGTCAGTGACCAGGTAAGCATCATTTAACATTGTCCAAGTCATAGAATGTAGACACTCTGCCACAGACTGTGAGGTACACAACTGCAGGAGAGACTGTGGCTCTCAACGCAGGTCCAGCTCACTTTGGCAAACAACTGACTGTCAGTGACCAGGTAAGCATCATTTAACATTGTCCAAGTCATAGAATGTAGACACTCTGCCACAGACTGTGAGGTACACAACTGCAGGAGAGACTGTGGCTCTCAACGCAGGTCCAGCACACTTTGGCAAACAACTGACTGTCAGTGACCAGGTAAGCATCATTTAACATTGTCCAAGTCATAGAATGTAGACACTCTGCCACAGACTGTGAGGTACACAACTGCAGGAGAGACTGTGGCTCTCAACGCAGGTCCAGCACACTTTGGCAAACAACTGACTGTCAGTGACCAGGTAAGCATCATTTAACATTGTCCAAGTCATAGAATGTAGACACTCTGCCACAGACTGTGAGGTACACAACTGCAGGAGAGACTGTGGCTCTCAACGCAGGTCCAGCTCACTTTGGCAAACAACTGACTGTCAGTGACCAGGTAAGCATCATTTAACATTGTCCATGTCACAGAATGTAGACTATGTCTATTGTAAGTTCACAAACAAACCAACAATTAATTTACAAATCCATGTGTTGTGCAGGTCAGTGGTAAGGTTGGAGTCGCCAACCCTCTCCGGGCGTGTGAAGCTCTCAAGAATGCTGACTGGCTGCAAGGACGTGTTGCCATTGTAGAGCGCGGGGACTGCATGTTTATTGAGAAGGTACATCTCTTTAAGAAAAAAATTTAGTGCTAAATGATCCTAAAACAGCTTTCATATGTATATGTGCATAAGGGAGAGATTCTGTCTTTTGTAGGGTTTCCATGTGGAAAAGTACATTGTTAAACAAAGTACCAAGTTATTTTATGATACTGCTGAAAATTAAAGATTAAAAACTCCATAAACCAAGGACAAGCTCTAGAAAATATTTCTGTAGTATCTCCCTCCTATAATTTTTAACTACGATTAGATAACTTTGGAACTTTTTAATTAGGAAGCAAATCGCTAATTCGAGTTAATAACAAAAATTAGAGACAGCTTAAAAAGATTGTAGAAGAACCAAGATTAAGACGATTTGTGAGAGAATTCCTCGGAAAATGGAGTAGGTAGTGGTGGAGATAGATAGTGAAGTAGAGTAAAAGGAGAAAAAAAGGAAGGTCCTCAAGGCATTCACATGGCAAGACGAGGTGAAAAAAAATGAGAAGGGTGAGATGGGAGATGGAAGAAGAAGGGGATCTGTGAAGGGACGAAACAAGATAAAGGAGGCCATATCAATGACCAGATACGATCATAACCAACTATGCCAGGGGATTGTTTGTATGTTGTATGAAGGTAATTAAAGATCTTTTCAAAGACATTTTGTTTGGCTAGGAACTAAGCTAAAGCTGAAATATAACACTTTAATTTCTTACACCAACTTGTTTTCAGGCACGCAGGCTACAGCAGGCTGGAGCGCTTGGCTGCATCGTAGTAGACAACGTGGCCAGTTCAGCAGCCGCTACTTCACCAATGTTCGCTATGTCTGGTGACGGCACTGATGATGTTGACATCCCTGTTGTCTTCTTGTTCTCTCAAGATGCTTGGCAACTTTTGCAAGCTCTGGCCCGAGACCCAACCATGATGGTCACTCTCAGTGGAAGCACGTCAGGTAATAAGTTGTGTTTTTATTATGTAGGTACAAGTTGATATTTAAATTTTTGTTATATTGTTGATTGGTAAAATTACCTCATATTATCAAGTATATTACTGTAGTCTGAATGTCGGGATCTAAGTCTCGACAGTATTTCTTTTGTTTCAAAGTCCCCAGAGAACCAAATACATTGATCGTTGTAATTTTTCTGTTTGAATATAATGTTATAAATGATAAATGCTATCCAAGAATTTCCTATTTTTAATTTATTTGTCTTTAAATTAAGAATATTGCTTTTCTAAATACTTAAGACAGTTTTCTTCACCGACATAACCTACTAAAAAGTCGGCAAAATGTTTTGTGATGTGAAGTCAAAATGTAACTAGTTAGTATCTAGTTAGATACACTTTAATTTAGGTAAAACTGATGGTTGTTTTTAAGGTTATGTTTAATATTTATTTTCTGGTAGACACTGATCAGTCAAACACATCTGCTGACTCTGAAGATGAAGATCTTCAAAAAATTAAAAAGACAATCCAAGAATTTCTATCAACACAAGAACAGCCAAAGGTGAGAAATAATTTGTGCACTTATAATTTTCTACACCAGCACTTTGAGTTGTATGTATTGGTTTGTAGTTGATTTTTATGAAATCTATCTATATATTAATAGGCAAGCATGTTTCTTTAAAACCTTTTTTCTCAGCTCGTGTGAATCGTAGGGAAAATCTACGCATACCGTTGGAAAGCTATTTTCCTGTAGGTGTGCAGAATCCCTTTATAAATTTAAATAGGCTCAAAGATAAGCACAAAAAATGAGTTTAAAAATTTGAAAAAATTAACATGGATCTTATGCGTTGCTATGCTGGTTACGAAATAACAACGAAATATAAACAGAAAATCAAAACAAATGGAGGAAACTCCAATCACATGTTTTATTTACAGTGTGGGGTGAAAATAGATAAGTGAGTACATTACATATTTTTGGTCGAGTTTCGACCACTGGACGACCTCTCGTTAAATTTATTGTGCATTTAATTTTTTTAAATGTAAAATGATTTCTAATGGAAATTTTTAGTTTAAGCTACCTTACTTAGCGTTCTGTCTGTTAGAAGTCCCATAGCTATATTTTCATTTAACTTGATTAACTTGATATTTTGCAAAAAACAAAATCATATATTAGGTACAGAGATTGGTAGACTACGCCAACTTTCCTTTGTCTTGTTTCAGAAGTTTGGTAAGCCTGAAGTGACCATGGTGGATGTAGGAGATCTGTTGAATGGCCAAGACATGATCAAGATATCCCGTCGCAATGCCTATTTGAGCAGCGAAGGTACGGCTATTGTTCCCCCCACCACTCCTACTCGCGAGACTCTCCGAGCAATTCTCCTCGATCTATTCTCCAAACCTCAGGACGAACGAACCAGCAAAGAGGATGAAATCGTTCAAGTGCAATCAAGAAACCGAATGGTACTCAAGCAACCGGATGAACTATAAAACGTTTCACTCAACCGAATTTTATTTTTTTCACGGGACACAGTATTCTGTCTTATTGACGTGTCTTTTGTATTGAATTTATCTATGAATGAAGGTTTGTGTTGACAAATCTACAGGGTCTTTTATGTATCTGGTCACGGTTAGTTTTTATAGAAAAAATGTGTGTAAATTATACATAATCATAATATATCTATTGAAGTGTTTTCACAGAATGCATTCCAAATGTGACCATGGAACATGGTTGTTGAATTACTATTGCAGAATATTTTGTTGAAATAAAATTATTTGAATAAATTTGTTTTTTCCTAAAATTGTTGTTATTAACCTTTGATGAGACGAAATAAAAATGAAATCATGTAGGTAAAAGATACATAAAGATGATAACTCAAGAGTTTGAGGTCAGTAATAAGACGTTAAATAAGAATAAATGTTTATTTTTGATCAGGTACTAAATGCTAAATTAATATTCACAAAGGTTCACTTGAATCCACATAAACAATTCTAAAACCAAAATTTAATCATACGGAAGGAACTTAATCAAGTGAGTTATGAAATCTTAACCTAACAGAAAAATATATTGCATCATCTCTACATTGTTCCGTACACATAGAGCACCATTTTACACCCAATACACCTTGTAATGTTATCTTATCACATCTTTAAGTCTTTACAATTGATGAAACCTTAAATTAACAAGCAATAAATTTAACACCGTATACAAGTATTGATAAATAAATATTTAGGTATGAGAAAAAATACTACAGGGATATAGGTTTTTTTAAGAGTTAGTAAATAAATACAAATGTGTATAGTTATTAAAAATATGTTTTAAGATAACCAAGTATGACAGTATTATGTAACTGTTGCAATGTTTCAAACCTCCTTTATCTTGATTCTGTATAATACTTTTTCATATTTCGTAAAAAAAAAATCATTGTTAACATTATACTCTTATCAAACAATGCAGAATCAAAGAATACATTTTTTTTCATTACCATCACTACACCAACATTTGCATAATCACTTTTGATATCTGTCCACAACAAAATTACATGTTGGAATTAAAAATACTAATAAATATCACGCTGTTTCAATCAAATTCACACTTTGCGTTCATTCATATCCTTGACAGTTTCAACTTATCACATGTTTTTGTTTCTGTTTCTGTACACAGCCTTAGTCCATGTGTTTAAAATCTCTTTTCAACAATAAACTAATAACTACAACCGAAATCACACAGCGTCAATTAACATGTGTTCTATAGATACTTTATCAATCAACACTTACTAGACTAATGTATTTATTGAACAATTCATTGATATTCCTAATAACAAGAAGGTTTTACGTACAGTTATACTGGAAGAGAAATGGAGCATCAAAAGGCACATGACACAATCTAACGAGTAATTCATTCACACTGAACAGCAATAGATAAAACAGTATGGGAAGGATAAGTTATAATTGCTATCACAACCATAATAAATCATTCCATTGAAAACAATTATGGTAAACTTACAGTAATCTGTAGAAGTAACAGAAATATTTGCGTGTGAATACAATAAGTATGGTCTTTCTTTATTATCATTATGTGCATAGACCTTTCTAACAACTAAAGAAAAGACCAGAGGAGGACACTTGATGGTAAATTTGTTGGCAAGTGGCAACTAACACTCATTTTTCACCAATCCACGAAAACCTGTATAGTTAGGTGTCACCTAGTATACTACATTGTATATTGGATAGAGAGGGAAAGTCTCACTACATATATAAACTTCCTCTGATCCATTCACTGTGTTGTAGTTGAAGACTTCTAATATATGACTTAAAAATTATTCATTGAGGAAGAAGGGACACATTCACAACTACATTAATTTAAGTTAAGTTGGACTCAAATAAATTCCACATAAAACTCAATATTTCCTTTATTTGCCCTTATAAAATGGCTTCTGCAGAAGAACATAGCAGAGTTTGTAATCAAATTTTGTTCTAATTTTCAATTGATGGTTTGAAAAATCTAGTTTAATCGTTTAATGTATTGTGTACTTTTTTTGTGCAATCAAGTCTGGAACTCATTTCTTAAGTGAATTAGATGCGTCTGTCCTTTCTTCCTTAATGTTTTTAAGCAATCTATAAATTATACATACTCCTGTATAAATTTATCACCTTTTTGGAAAAGCTGAAGACAAGTTTCAAGTATTTTTTTTGTCCGGTTTATGTAATGGATGATTTGATGTTTACTATTCATCTTGTGTTATTTAACCAACTTTAAATAATGTTTAACCAAGTGGATTAATCTATTTACAAGCAATTTCTTCCTCTGGCAATATTTTCTTTGGGTTTTAACCTCAGTGTTGATCGCAAAATATGAAATTTCTAAATTTTACTTACAAGAGGGTACAATTCAGCCAACATCAGCGCACTGAAAAGATACGAACATAAAACACAGGCTTCAGATTTTACAAAGAGATTGATTGAGAATATTTTACTGTAAAACTTAAAGGACTTCACTGATTTGATGAAGGGAAAAGTTGCAGCCAATACAATACAATACTGAATGTCAACAGTTGGTACAACTGATAAATTCTACACACACAAAACCTAAAAATTGTAAAATTGATAAAGTAGGGGGACACCCTACACACAGCCACCTTTCAAAGGACAATTTTTACAATCTATGAGGCTTTTTCTACCAACTTGCAATAAAAGCTGATGATAACTTGATAATAGTTATTTGTGCAACTAGTGAGCAAAGTGACTCACTCGAGAGAAATACTTACTCACGAGCCGTAGGCGAGTGAGGAATGATTTCTCGAGTGAGGCAATTGCACTTTGCACTCGAGTTGCACATTATATTTTTCCTACATTTACCATAAAACAAATAAATTGGTAAAGAAACGTAACATATTTTTACACAGAAGTGAACTTTTAATATGACATTTAATGATACAACAGTACAACAGCTGACCAGCTGATTTACAGCCAGTGCTGCCAACGTATTTCGCGCGCATACGACCTTGTCTGCATGTTACGCGCTCACTATTTTGTGCCTTCATGTTGCAAATCTGGAGTGAGACAAAGTAATTAGAGTGAGACAATGTTAACATTGTCTCACTGGTGAGCGAATTGGCCACTTTGCTTTCTCAAATCAGTGAGAGAACATGTACATTGTTAGGAAACTGTAGGAAAAGAATATTATTCTATACATTAAATCTTGGTACTGATATTTATATGATAATGATGAAACCCTTGTTTTATAAAGCTTAAGGTAAGATAAACCAGTTACAACAAATCTGGAAAAAAAAATAGTTATTGGAAAACTGTAATTAATTGAATTTGTAAGTGTAATTGAATGAGTATAGACTTTGGGTAACTGGCAAAATCAATATCTGGCTATTGTCTTGGTCCACAGGTGACTGGTTCAGGCGTCTACAAATAGGTTGAGTTCTAGTAAGACATGATTATAAAGGTCTTTAGAAGTTTCCAAGAATTATTTCTTTTTAAATTACTGTACGATTTAATATTGAGTATTATTTGACAAATATATTATTAAATGTGTGTTCCATACTTAAGACACTAACAACACAACATCCTAACTTCCTAAGTTAAGTATAAAGAAATAAAATGTATGTAAATTGCATACTTTTCCCCTAACAATCCCAACCATTATCATACAATTAATTAAAACAATCCATTCAGTCTCTAAAAAAGGAAGAGTATTTAAATTTAGAAGGTACGATTACAATACGATTATTATGGTTGAATTTCATAAGTTAAAATTACAGTTAACTTTTTTTTACTATTACACACTGATCAATCATTTAACAAGTAAAGAAGACAATTCAAAACTACCTTCATTTATAAAATATAGCAAAAATCAACTAATTGCTACGCATATAATCTAATTATGGAATTATTAATCAAACTTAACTAAAAGAATAATGTATCAAATACAAAGTTAAAAAAGAGTAAACTAATTTCAATATGAACCCAACAAAGTAAAAATTGAGGATTCAATGAAATAATCATGATGTTTTAAAACACCTTACTCTCCAATAACTCTAACCCAACAAACCCAGCCAGCATAAAACTACTCTCCAATGCTGACTTGAGTGCTTACTGCTTAGTTTTCCTTAAATTACAATGTAATAATACTGTCATTACCAACCGGTTCTTATTGTTGAATTACAAGGTAGTGGTAATACTGATATTGTTCCACGTTAGTCTATGTGGGGAGATGTGTTTGTGTACGATATTGCTTGGAATGTGAAAGACAAAGTCTGATCGCACATTAACCTGCTAGCAAACTCTCTGCATAGAAGTCGGGCTCGTCCTCTTGAGCTATCTGGTCGGCCGGACCATCACTGTCCAACTGTTAACAGAAAATAAAACAAATCAATAACAAACTCAATTGCAAACCTTAGTTAAACACTAAATAAAGACACAAATACACTTAAATACATTTATTTTGTAGGTATGTTAAAATTAATAAATCCAACCCAAACTCTTTACCAACAAAATTGAGTTTTGGATCTCAAAGCAAAGTAAAGTATTTAATGTGAAAATCAATTCCAGTATTCCAGTACAACATAAATTTCTAAAATTGTTATGCCCAAAATAAATAATAAAATTTCCCCCAAGTTATGTTGGTAATTTAAAAATTCTATTTATATTTCATTATGTTAATTGCTTTGAGAGGGCGAATGGGTTGGCAGTAGCTGTTAAAACGGCAGAGGGAAACATACTAGACTTAATTCTTTAATCCCACCAATCTTAAATTAAAATATTTTCTTAGATATTGGTGAATCGACACATTGATCGACTGATTAGTGATTGATCATCTGATCTAGAGATACCAGTATTCAGCAGGTAGATAGGCCTTTTAAAGGCGGGGACACACTTGTCATACACCCTTCCGATCCGACTCCGATCATACTGTGGTACGACTGTCGGAGAGGGGAATGGTACTTAACTTTGAACGCGGTTGTTTACACCTCTCCGACACGCGTCACGTCATACTCCGATCCTACTCCGATTTTGAATCCGATCACGCACCGACACTGCAGTCTATTTGTTTGTCGGATGCAGGATGGGTTGTTTCTTAAAAATCACCTTTATTCTTAAGATTTAAGAATAATGGTTTAAAATAAATATATGCCGATGCTTGACGTGAAATCTGTGCGTGCATACCTTCAATTTGAGACCTCGATCATGAAAATCGGACGGGTAGAAGAGCCAAACGAACTCGAGAGAGAAAACCCAATGTGCTTAATATATAAGATGGACACTTAGGTAAACCACCTAACTTTCTTTCCATACAGAATGAACGCAAATTCTTCGTTTCCCACTGCCCTTCAGAGATGTCTGACTTTCTTCCTCTTCATCTAGACAAACCGCCATCATGGCTGAATCCCGAAGTCCAAAGTTTTTGAACATGTTTACCACCTTCTGCTGCACGTAGTTTACAAATCAGACTGGCAAGTGTTGATCGACCGGTGGAGGAAATCGGGCATGGGTCGGAAGCGTGTATGACATGTGTGTTCACCCCCTCCGATCCCGCACCGATCCTTCTGGAATCCCGCAAATCGGATCGTAGTAGGATCGGAAGAGTGTATGACAAGTGTGTCCCCGCCTTAACACCACAAATATTAGTAACTAGAAACACAACTAAAACAACCTTATTTTAACAAAAGATTAAATTAGATAGATAGATACTTACGGCTTTCAACTCTTGTTCAGTGAAGAGATATCTGAATTGAGCTCTTAATGGGACTATGAGGATGATGAAGAACGGAAACGCGAGGGAGAGAGGTGAAGACTTGATAACCCAAAGTCCCGCAAGACAAGCCAGCTGAATCAACGTGAACAGGTGCATCTTCATGGTCTGGACCTGAGAAACAAGCAATTCTATTCATAAGAGGGATGCTATGTTTGACAGTGAAGACGAAGAGGTAACTAAAAACTAGGGATGTACGGGTCTCGAATTTTTTAGATTAAATAAAAAAAATCTCGATAGTTCGAGCAAGATTAACTTTCCTCCAAGACTTTTTTGAGACGAGATTACATAAAAAATTGTTTCAACGCCTTTGCAAAGGAAACGCAACATGGACGGACACTCTTCTATTGCGGGTATTGCAGAGTTCCTGAAGGGGTTTTTTAACTATGAACATTTTAAAAATCGGTAAAATTGGTTTATCTGGTAATTTGTTTATCAGTTATCGGTCTGGTCCCGTCTATACCGGATATAATAGGTCTTGCTGTTTATCGAGTGGAGTGAGCGAAGCTCATATACTACACTCCTGCTTTTGTGATATAATTATCACTGAGATCTGAAATATCGAACGTGCCGACGTTCCATCGTACAAGCTACTACAATTTTCTGTTATCTCTTATAGACTGTTTTTGTTGTGATAAAGTTAGTTGTGGTCTGCATGTTATGGTTTTACATTAAATATGTAAAATAAATAAATAATTAATTAAATAAATACTTGGCTCAAACTTAAAATCCAGTCTCTTCCATCCCTACTAAAAATATTGCAGCATTTCAGTATAAATTTTAACGCTTATTTTTATTTTTTACAGTACAAAACCTCATCACTATTACAGCTTTCATGTCAAGTGAGGGACAAAACCGTAAACACAAACACTGAAGCAAATACATTATTTACTTTCAAAACATATTTGGTTCATACACTAATTGATATTTGAATTGAGACACAGACAATCTAGTGACCTGAATTGATATTTCAAAGCTGAAAGGCAAGTGAAAGTGCAAAAGATTTTCGGTGGGTTGGATGTCACAAAGAATTGATTATCAGATGTGTGTGTTGAAGTCAGATGTGAGCAATTCTACTGTAATCAAAGAGCTGTGATATTCTCAGTAAGGTTCTAATTTTAGAGTTAACTTGGAGAACTTTCTTTGAGTTCTTCAAGCCTAATAAAAAAAAAAAATAATAACTAGGTCTCACATTCAGGTATAGTAGGTCCAAAAACAGCAAGAGTCTGTAGAAGACAGTCGTAAAACATCAGCCCTGGCCAGTATTTGATATTGTAACATTAGCAAGCAAGCTGGTCTTTTAACACTACACATTTATATGATAGGCCCTAATTTATAAATTTGAGTTTTCTGTTACTATGTCTACATTCATTACTTACTCTGCGAACGTATTCAACTTGAGGGTGGTGCTTGACTGGCATGAAAAACAGAATAAGCCTCTCAAAGAATTGGATACCATCAATGGAGGAGATACCCATATAGAGAAACACTCCAAACAGTGCAGCCATGGGTACAAGGCGAAGTAAGGGTGAGAACAATACCGAGACCCCCACGAGAATACTCACTGCCAACGCTGACAATCTCTGTTCTGAAACACACATAGATGATCAATGGGGGAGATGTACAATACCGTCAAGTCCTTAGGTGATCCGGAGTTTGTTGAAGGGTTGAAACAAAAAATAAAAATGCTGAATTTTTGGTGTTATAATTTTTTTTTAAACAGAAAATACACTAGTATCCTGCCAAGGTCACAAGCCTTCTGTCATCGGTCGTCTATCTTCGTTGTAGATAAAAAATATTTATTTACTTTCCTCTCTCAAAATATTGAACGGAATCCATTAATGTCCTTAAAGGGAAATAGCTTAAACTTGTTTGTTATTTTATTCCTCACAAATCATAGACAATTTGTCAAATTAAAACATTTATTTTATTCAAATTCAGTTAAAAGTTAATTTAAGTTCAAAGTGTATTTGTATTATTCATATAATGTAATTACGTCAAGGTCAGGAGACAATTTTCTTTTAGTTTTGATTGCACACCAAATATTTTATCATTAACTGTACTTTTTTTTGTGACCATAACTAAGCGAGTCTAAAAGATTTTGAGTTTGGTTTTTAAAATTTGGGATTTGATTTTAAGTTTTAGTTTCGGTTCAAGCAAGCATTCAAAACTCCTGATTTCAATCTTCACTACTTTGAAACCTGGACACCACTCAGAATCACTGTGTCCACTCCGGACTAATTACTATGTAATGCTTTAATACTTTCTTATTAAATGGTGACCATACAAAGTAGGTATTTAAGCCAAGTATGAATGGAGATGAGTGTAGGATGAGTGGCGCGATCTTGTAGTCTTGTTAGTGACTAAGGCTGACATATTCCTTAGACACAGCTGTTAATTAAAGTACTATCTTTACAGGATTGAATAACCGTCCGCTAAGTAACCTTTTTTGTGTATGTGTTTTTGGGTGCACATGGCTATTATTTTACTAAATAATAAACTTTACTATCCCTCCCCCCACCAAAAAAAAAAAAAAAAAAAAAAAAAACTATTGAACAAACAGCACATCTAGTAGCTCACCTTTGACCTCAATAATGTGAGGTTTGTCTCCGGGCGCGTGTGTCCGAGACATGACGGTCACAGCAGACACGTGTGCCACACTGCGCACAGTTGCCACACACATGTAAGGTGCTCCCATCAGTCCACACCCAACGTTGGCTATACACACCAGCACTATATCTAAGTGGAATCCACAACCTTTCTTCAACTTTCGCTCCTTCTTGTCTATGATCAACCTGGATGGAAAGATTGGAATCTAGCTTTAGTGAGTTTCAAGTAAAATATTTACTATGAGGGGGTATTTATAAAACTATGTTAGTCAGCACTGGGTTGGATTTGCCTATTTGAGTATCATGCTACAGTACAGTATACTAAAGGAAAATCTTTCTGTCAAGACGAGTTATTTTTGCACAGCTAGCCATTGTTAAATTATGCAAATAGAAATACATTCTTTCTGAAAAGTATCCAGATTTTATACATTTGTTATGCAATATAGTAAATTGATTATCAAATATATGCCTCAAAATTTATTAACTAGAGGGTTGATTGAATTTTGATTCACTTGGTAGCAGTATATTTTGCCTTAAGTAGCATTGAAAGAGGATTAAAAAAATACAATTTTGGGGTTTAATTATTAAATTTTGTATAGTAAGTTTAACTGTTTTTACTACCAAAAGGTCTTTTTATCACACATTATTTTGTGTGTTTTGTGGTTCTAGTTTTACGATGAGAGTTGATGTATAAAACAGTAACTATACTGAAACACCCTTAATCAACATAGACAATTTTATCCATTATTACATACTCGCTGATGTGCGTCTCCATGAAGAGCAGTATATAGACCAGCATGGCAGGTACTACAGCCACCCCCGCCACCCACAGTGGTACGGGGGCCAGCAGTCCCAGGGGAGATATGAGCCACCCCCGCACTGAGGGGTTGCTGGGGCTCAGACCCTCGGGTACCTTCAGCTTCTCTGTGTACACCCCGGGCTCTACGTAGTCCAGCAGCACCATCAGCACAATGGCGATTGGAACACCAAAGTCTCCCAACGCCCGCCTCGCCTAATAAACACCAATCAGAAACAAATAAGTTGTACTAACACTTGGGTAGAAGACTATAGTAAATCTATGACTCTGAGTCTCTATAAGATTGGATTCAAATAGTAGTTTAGCTATTATGCAGAACTAAGTAGAGCTGTTTTAAAATGGAAAACTTTGCTTTTATTTTAAATTGGTTTTTTTTTGTAAATAAAACTTAATAATTAGTACAATGAAATAGTTATTTGTGTAACTAGTGTGCAAAGGCAATTTGCACTCGTGTTACACGTTATATTTTTCCTACAGTTATTAAAGAGCATATCAATAATTAGTCTTTCATTCAAACACTAAACAACTTGTTTTAGGTTAGGTTGAAATCCAAGCGCTGAACAAAATTGGAAACACTGCAACAGCTGTATAGTCGTAGTATCTTTAAGTGTTGCCTACTTATTTTCAATTGTACATAGATTACGTGCCTAATAAAAGCACGCTGTTTTGTGTTGTTTGGTTGGAGTGCAACAAAAAAAGAAATGCGGCAAAAGTAAGTAAATGCAGCAATTAGCAACTTTCTGTACTATATAATCAGTGCATGGAAGCCCGCTTTGTCAGGTAACTATAGGAAAATTCACATTTAGAAAATTATTAAAATCAAAAAGGATCAACTATTGTAGACAATTTAATTACAATACAAATCTAACACCAGAGTTAAGAAAATCATTTAAGACCCAACTGAGCCACCCACACCTCGGCGGAGAAATGTAAACACTCACAAAAATTGAACCATTTACATGCCTAGCATTCCTCGACAATAGAAATCCTGTTTGTTGTTGTCATTTAAAACTATACTGAATCCAATTGTGAATAGTTTGATACACTCATGCTGAAAACCCTGTGTACAAAGCTTCAAAATGTCACACTTACACTTCGTCCCAAGAACTTGCTGTTGCGAAAATGGCGCAAGTAGTAGGCAATGAAGAATGTACCCAGTGCCAGCACGGTGCAGAACAGAGCTGTGTTAGGTTGATTGGTCGTCGCAGGTACAGGTCGTGTTACTACTCTGCAACATAACAAATATTCATTGTGGATGTAGCCTCCGGATTGCCAAATAATATTAAAAAGGTTTAAATACCTGCTATTAAGCAATCCATTTAATTGCAGTTGCGTCAATAAAATCTCGGCAACTGCAATTAAATGGATTGCTTAATAGCAGGTATTTAAACCTTTTTAATAACAAATATGATATAGTAGACACAAAGCTGTATACAGTAGAACGTCGATTATCCGAAGCTCGATCATCCGAAACGTCGGTTAACCGAAAGGAAGACAGAAGCAAAAATCAATAAAATCGCGCGCCAATCACGACTGGCCGTAGCGCTACGCCACCGCACAGCTGCTAGGCGGGAGGCAGGGTGGGAGGCGGGGCGGGCCTACGTGACGAAATTGTCGTGCACTATGGCCGCGCGCGCCACTCCTACTGCCACTGACTCAGTATCCGTCTCAAGTCTCAGTCGCCTGTGAGCATTCGACAGCGACAGTTCGTACGGGTTTCTATTGTACTGTTTCATTCTACACTGACTATGTCGTCCAAACGTAAACGTGTAGTGCTTAGTGTTTCTGATAAACTTAAGATATTGGAGCAGTTAAAAAAAGGTGCTAGTGGATCGAATTTAGCTCGGGAATATGGAGTTGGAAATGCGACAATATCTGACATTAAAAAGAAAAGTGAATCCATCACAAAATTTGCGTGTGTACTCGACAGTGAAGATGGGAGCCTACATAGAAAAACCATGAAAATGGCGGAAAACCAAGACTTGGACACCGCAGTGTACACTTGGTTTATGCAGGTGCGTGGACAAGGACAACCAATAAGTGGCCCTTTGCTTTGTGAAAAAGCCCTAGAAATGAATGCGAAACTTGGTGGTAACGCTGACTTTAAGGCATCAACCGGCTGGTTGAAACGTTTTAAATCTAGGCATGGTATTAGGGAGTTGGATATTCAAGGGGAAAAGCTGTCTGCTGACACTGAAGCAAAAAAAAGCACAAAAGCCCAAAGAACTCGTGGATGGACACAAGCATTTTTGTCGAATGGTATGATACCGTATTTATACCGGAAGTTAAAAAGCAACACATCGCAACTGGGAGCTCTGGAAATGTTTTGCTAATCATCGATAATGCTCCAAGTCATCCTTCCTCGATGGACCTCGACAGAGAAGATGGCAAGTTCAAGGTGGTTTTTTTGCCTCCAAATGTAACCTCAGTTCTCCAACCGATGGACCAAGGGGTAATTGAGAGCTTTAAACGTTATTACAGAAAAGCATTGTTACGGATGGTTCTGCTTGGGCAAGAAGAAGACAAACCCATTCTTCAGCTCTATAAAGCAATAAACATGAAGGATGCTGTTTATATGGCTGCAGAAGCTTGGGACTGCGTCAAGGAGACCACACTTAAGAAAGCTTGGAATAAGCTTTGCCCAACTGAGGCTGCTCCTACACCTGAAGAGCCCCCGACCCAATTTGTGTCAGAACTGGTTGGCCTTATAAACCAATCTCCAGAATTTGAAGATTGCGATCAAGACAATATTCAAGAGTGGCTTGAATGTGATGTAGATGACCCTGGATATGAAGTGATGACGGACGATGAAATCATAGCTCACGTCCAAGAGAACGGCGATGACGATGAAGAAGAGGATTATGACATCGACCTCCCTAATGAAAACGGCCCATCCCACGATGAAGCCTTTCACTGCCTAGAGACTGCAATGCTGTGGTTAGAGCAGCAAGAAGAATGTGATTCTGTTCAATTGCTGTCTTTAAAACGACTGCGAGATTTAGCAGCAAAAAAACGAGTGTCTGGACTAAAGCAAAAATCTATTTTGGACTTTTTTTAAATTTCTTTCTGTACACATTCTGATTCTGTAGTCCAGTTCTAAGTACTGTTGTACATGTTTGTTACTGTATTGTAAAAATAAATCTGGATGTTAATTAATTAAATTTATATTATTGTACAGTATCCACAGACGTCACTGACGCAAAATCGGCAAATCGCCGCCGGCCGCTATCCCTTCCCGTCAATGACCGATTATCCGAAAAATCAGTTATCCGAACACCCCCAATCCCCAATTAATTCGGATAATCGACGTTCTACTGTACAAATGTTTATTGAATGGTTAAAGATTGCTGAATGAGTGTTTAAAGAGTTCGCCTAGTTATCCAAAAGTTAAGTGTTTGATCCTTAGTTTAAATCGATTTAAAAAATTATAATTTGGCTAGCTGTTCCAGATAACTTTGGTTGGTACTTTCCTGTTAAAGGGAACATTCATTATTATCGATGATTTTTTTCTCGATATATCGATATTGACAAATTGAAACATATCAGCTGACAACTGCGATAAATATTGTTCAGTATCAACAAACAATAAAATAAATGAAACTGTTCTAAAAAAATAACCTAACATAACTAACCAAACTTGCTGTGTAACATTCCATGTTTAACTTGCCTTTTCTGTTATCAAAACGAATTTTTAAATAGTACAGCAAGTTTGGTTGGTTATGTTAGGTTAGCTTAGAACAGTTTCATTTCTTAACCCATATAATAGACTATTTTAGCCTAAACAAGTTCAGTTGTCAATATGTAATGGATCGGTAAACAAAAATATCGATATATAAAAAAAATCATCGATAATAATGAATGTTCCCTTTAACAGGAAAGTACCCTTTGGTTTTCATAACAACTGGTAATCCTGGCTAAAGATTAAGCTGGTAAAGCTCAGTAGTACATATTTTGCCATAATGTTGGCATCACTGAGTATAAATTTAGTAATTTTTTAACAAAAACCCTAAAAAAGTACAGTTCACATTTGCAAACTGCAATAAAAATAATAAATGTTTAATTTTGTTCAGATTTTTCCGCCACAACTTAAGCCAAACCTTATAATTTCACACATAAGATATAGCCTAACACAAAATAAACAAATACTGTTATAAACAACCATATTGTAAAAATAAAAATAAACCATATGGTTAAACATCCATCAAATACCCAATTGAGAGAGCTCCCATGTTAATCACACTAAAGAGAGCCACGCTGAAATAAAACTACAACTCACTTAAGATAATTTTGATCTATGACCCTCACACATAAAAGAAAAAAAAGAAAGAAAGTTTGCTTTGATGGTATTATGTGTTTCTTTCAGGAGTTGGGAAGTTGCTACTTAACTTTTCTTATTGGCATAAACATAACCATAATAATAATATAATATGAAAAATATTATTATATAATATGCATGATATAAATAGTGAATGAATGGTATAAATAGTAATGGTATAAATAGTAGCTTTTCGGGTCTTGGACATCAGTGGAACGTTGCCTACCAGCCAACACACTCCTCTGCATGAGAGGAATTGTGACACCTGGTGGTGAATGTGTTAAAGGCAGAGTTAACAAACCAGTTACTTACTCAATGGATGAGTTGGTTGATGAATTAGATATCCAAGCAGCATGGCTGAGCATTGAAGATGTTACGTTTGCTTCTGAACAGTATTCTGACAAGGTCATCAGAGGATGCCTCAAAAACAACTGCAAAATATAAAAACCTCATTTATTGAATGTCAGAACTATAATTATATTTACATTTTAAAAGGGGATACATTGTTTACTAAGACAGTGTAGTTTTCCAATAATAGTATAAACGATTTTTACATGTTTACTGTTATCTGGTACTGTATAGTATGAAGCAAGACAGAAAATATATAACACAGTACATGAAGACTTATCTTGGGAAAATATTGATACCTCATAAATAAATACATCAAAAGAAATCTTCAACAGAATGACTGATACATAAAATTAAAGAAAGAAAACTGTACTTCAAATTGTCGAGTTAACAAGCAAGAAAATAACAACTCTATGGAAGATGATCACAGTATACTTCCTCTCGTTCGGATCCGTCAGGTTCAAACTTTGGACACTTAATTCACCCTAGCCCTTTTGATTATACATACAAATTTTTTCACTGCATTCCCTTATTGTTTAGTCTTATTGTTTAGACTTATTGTACTGTCTTTCACTAATTGTCACACATTATTTGTGATTTTGACATGTATTCCATCTTTGTACTACCTACCTTCTGTTGGTTTTAAGTTTTTCTTTGGTTTAGACAAGAGTTCAGTTCCAGGGGGTCGGAATGAGTAGTCACTCTACCTTAATATGTAACTTGACATCACAACATTTTTCAACAAATATAATAAGCAAATATTTTTTTTTATTGATACACTATTGAAATTTCATTTACTTTTGTGGAGACCAATATTTCTAATGACTATACTTACAGCATATATCTTCATGGCGCTCTCAACAATGTAGAGGAGAGAGATTAGAGAGGCGAATATCTCGGATATAAAGCGGGTGAACAGCTTGACGAGGACACTGCCTTCAAAACAGCTGACTATGAGAGCAATCACCAGCAGCCAGAAACCAATGTACACACGGATAATCAGGTATTCTATACCATTCTGTTGGCAAAACTGCAACAATAAAATAAATATTACACTTGATGCGTATGTCCCTTCAAAACAAAGATCTATCACTACATAATGAATCATTTTACAAAATATCAGGAGGTAATTAAAAATGTTTGATCACATCACTGCATAGGTTTTAATTAACAAACTAATATCAAAATATTATATTGAAACAGTCACAATAATTCCAAAATTAAGGGCTGTACAGGTAAACCATTCTAAATATCCATTCTAAAAATATGCATTCTGGTAAAGTGTGGCACAAAGCAAAGCCGCATGAAACAAGAATTATTCATGAACTACAACCGTCATTGAACAATACTTTACAACCCCTTTCAACAAACATTGGTTTTTTTTGGTAATTTTGACAATGTAAATATAACTAAAGTACAAAAAGTAAAGTACACAAAAAAAGGAAAGCATTCCTAGATGTGCTGATTTGATTTTTCTCCACGAATCTCGTACAGTGACTTTGTTAGGGCTAAATGTATATTAATTTATTAAACCTTACTTTTTTGGGCGTTCTAACACATCTTAAACTGTGCTGTTGTCCTGCAGAACTTACACTGTAAAGACTCTCCTCAAACAGAAGCAGTGGACCAGTCGTTCCAACGATCAACAGAGGTTGTCCACCAAACAACGCAAAGAACACTCCGGAGCTGGCTGTGGCGACCAACGTCTCTGAGATACCAATCAGGTTGTTGGTCTTATCAGCTGGAATATCCACAATATATAACCAGAGCCATGCACTTTGAAACTATGTTGATGTTGTGAGAGCAATTTTAGAGCTTTCATCAAATTTGACTTGTGTTGTTTGCAAAGACAAGTGGACTAAATCAATGGTCAAACGCAAATTAAAAGATAAGATCAAATTTTGATACAAAATTCTAAAACTGTATTTTGTAGGTCTATTAATTACTTTAGAACAAATTGAACAAGAATGGTATCTTCCACACTGAGAATGTTAACCCTTGATGAATGTAGGAGGTCATAAGTTGGAAAATTATGAGGAAACTTCTTTGCTATCTTTTTACTATAAATTCTAGAATGGTCAACAACTCAACAATCAACATTATAGCTACACAAAAAGAAACTTTGAATTTAGCCACTAGCCATTTTAAAGGGTTTGCATTGTAATACAAACCCATAAAATACACAACTGCTTTATCACAAGCTATTTTTTTGGAAACTATTTAAACACAGGATACACAAATTTAACTTCAACTAGACTATGCATTCTGAGGATTAATTTGAATCACAAGATTGAGACTTTTTTTGGAAATACAAAACTTATAGGATAAGATAATACCAATCAGTTATAAACAATATTAAAGCAACAAACCCATCAATCCTCCAAACGCGATGGCAGCAGAGAGAGCAGCAAAGTATATGAATATCGCAGCAGCAAAACACTGCAGGTTCAGTCCATCTTTGAAGTCCGAAAGAAACCAAGGATATCGTCTCTTGATGTCGTTGAACAGACCTCCAAATGGACGACGGGTACGTTTCAGTGGATCTGGGTATTTGGTTCTCCGCTCACTGATAGGGGTGAGAGCTGGAAACAAAAATACTAAGATTAAGATATAAAACTAGAATAGTTGTTTTATGAGTTTGGAAATAACAAAATATGCATATAGTGTTAAGAGTTAAGAGTGTAGCTAAAGTCGCAGAAGGTTTTGTAAGTACAAGTCAAAGAGTTGGGAAGATAACAAGAGGAATTTATATATAATTTTGTGTATAGTGTAAGGTTTTTTTTGTGTTTCTCAAGCCAAAGTAGACTATTTACTATCCAAGAAAGCCTGCTATCTAAACAAAAAGGTTGGATTAGTTAATTGATCAATTCACAACTGTCTCAGTTTCTAAGGCTACACAGTATGAATAGCAACACACAATACAGAGATGAGGAGCTTACGTTGTTTGGTAGGTGGATGTATCCTACTCTGCCGTCTTCGTATCTCGTCTGTCTTCTCCTTGATATCCGAGTATGGAAGCAGTGTCTGCTGGTCCCAGTCCCCGGGGGGCAGCACAATGCTGAAGTCTAGGAACTCGTTGATGGCTGACAGCAGATCTCGCCTTTCTGTCGCTTTGTAAACCAGAGTGTGAAAGTCCTGGAATGAAAAAAATAAAATTAGGCATGGAGGAATTTAACAGAAGATAGTTTATTATTTTGTTGGCCAAGTAATATTCTTACAAACTAAAAAAGTTCAAGTCTAGATGCATTTTTTGTATTTTCTAGGTTAAAGCCACAAGAAACCACTTAAACTTTAACACCTTTGTAGCATTTCAGTATACTTTTATGAATTATGGCAAAATCTTATGCCAAATGTAACTCAGTAAACAAAGCGTTTCCAAACCTTTATGGGCTTTTTTCTTAGTTTTAGCTGATCAATTATATCCCGAGATATGACCGTGCAATTTAGAATCATCATCTAATGAAGTCACAGATTAGTTATTTTTGTTTGACGATACTTCACAAAATTGTTAACTAATAAACACCAACTAACGAGAAAAATATGAAAAAATATGTAGCGAATGAGTTAAAAAAACATTGACTTACAGAATTGGACATGAGAGTAGAGATGGATCTACCTATCTCATGGTAGTCGAGATCCGCTTCTGGTGGACCAAGCAAGACGAATATGAATCGGACTGGAATAGTCACCTAAAACAGCAGAGAATAACATTAATGACAAATGGGGTTTGTTTGCTCACACTTCTGATCTAATAGAATCACATTCATCTATAAAATTGATTTTCTTGTACTTTAAATAATAGTAGATGGCCATTACACAATACTTTCTTTTCATATTATTTTATTCGATAATTTCAATAATTTGGAGCTCTGATGTTACCTCTGTAATGCTCGGAATCATCGTTCCCTCGGCGAGTCGTACAAATGCTGTTGTTGGTTGTTTCAAGAAGTCTACGGCTCCAACTAACACAGCAGCAGCTTCAGCACCATCTGGTATCCTCTTCAAGATGCTCTCTCTCGCTGCTTTCTTCGTTAGATCTTCAGAAGAAGACATGTACGTTTCTTCTTTCATTTCTACCTTAAAACATCACCCAACTAAATCCATGGACAGCTGAGTGAGTGATTTACTAAAGTATACGTTTTCTTGCTTCAAAAATGTTTTTGGGATGTAATAAATTTTGACAAATGTATTCGCTTATTATTATTTTTGCTTATTATACACAAAAATATTTAAAAATATGGGTTTTTGCAAAAGTACAAAAAAATTTACTAAAAAATTATACAACAATGTGTAAAATGTAAGAAAGATGGCATGTAACTTATCTTAAAAAAAAAGAGTTCATGCCAGTCCGACTAATAATTTGCGAAATATACACTTAAAAATCTATTGCCGCCATATTGATGACATCATAGCCGGAAAACGTGGGGAGTAGGAGGTAAACAGAAACACCCAGGTTTTTTAAGCTCCCTAGACTCTAAACTGAAATAAATTGTTATGCAAGAATATTGAGTATACACAAGTTTGCACACTAAAGTAGGAATAGCCAGCTGCAGGACTATTACACTTTTCTCCAAGATTGAACTAGCAACATTTTTAGAGTAGGCATATAATTGCACAGCTACTAAGCTATTTACATTCTACTTGCTTGGTAAATGAAGGTTATGAAGAGAAACATACTGCTGTATGGTTGACCAGCGAAGCTCTAGCAGGATCATCGTGAAGACTTGCGTAGTTGTTCAACATCTTAGGAACCTCCAGAGACGAAGCTATCGACATCTTTGGTCGACTCTTCACCTCTTCTTGGATGTTCTGTAGGAGTTATAACAATGTTAACTTTTGGCATTTGGACATAGATAAAATACTAGTGATTTAGAGTTTTACTTTTGGATAGCAGTGATGAAACAAACCAATTCCTTTTTAACCGTGCCAGTTTTCTTTCTACCTACTATTAAAAATGTCATTTTTTCAAATGGACCTATTGGAAAATTAAAGACTGCATGGTATGAAACCAAATTGTACTAAACATGAGGCAATGATTCAGCAGTTTTTAACATTTGGTCTTGATTATAAAAGGGTGATTTTTTAAACAGGGTTTTTTTTTATAAACACAAACCAAATTACAAGTTGGTACCATAACACACTGCTTAACGACAAAACAAAAACACAATTTGGTATCCCTGTATTATTAATTTAATTTTAAATCAGCTGATATGCATTGTTGCATAGTTATTTGAGTGAATGAGTATTGTGAGTGTTATTGGGAATTTATTGTGAATAAGTCTCAGCTTGGCGTTTTTGCAAGCTCTATTTGAGTGTATAAAAAACCGTCAAATTTACAATAAATTATAAACACTAAACATCATAGATGACTGAAGAAAACAGGGATACCACCATATGAGCTGGTTGTATTGTTAAAAGGTGTCTTAAAGGTAGTTGTAATTATTTGGGTTGTATTTAATAGAAATACACCCTATATTGATCAATTTAAACGAGTAATTTTCCTTAAATATAATGAGTCTGTAAAAATCTTTGGTCGACAACAAAATCATATACAATAAAATAGGATAAGATTATTCAGTTTTATAGTTAAAAAAACATTTAGGCATTTAGGCATAACACATATAAAACCAGATAAGTAGTTTCTTCTACATGTCATGGCAAAAAAAAAAGAAGAAAAAACAGGGAAAAAATTGATAGCCTACTTCATTCAACTAAACAGTAAATATGAATTAAAAATTACCAAAATGCTGGGACCAAAAAGGTGACAAAGAACATACACACACAGTTACAGTCAAAAAATCACTTGCACATAACATCATTGCAAATAAAAAAATAAAGTCAGATATAAACCTAACCACACTATGCCAGCAAAATGACCGAGTGCCAAAATCTATTTGCACTTTCAGAAGATAATTTCACAATAACTGTACTACAAGAGCCCTGACAATAGAGATCTTGGATAATAAATAAAACTTGATTAGCTATAATGCATTATATCCATGTGATATACAAGTAAAAAGAAAATAATAATAATATATACAAATCAACTATAGGACAAAAAGTAAAAATCAATAAAATAAAAAGCGTATAAATCCAGCCAGAAAATGGGTTAAGCACACAGATGACGTGGGGAATTACATGAGTCTGCATGATTAGTGTTGAACAGCGTGTTGATAAATGGCCCGACGTTCCTTCTCCTCCTCCAAGGACTGGCAAAACCACAAAACACAACAAAACGTATCACAACAGCGAAACCAGTGTTAAATGTGCTGCGTTACAATATCAGGGAAGTTATAATCTCTGCACGTTTCCTGAAAAAGAACAACATGACAATCCCCTAAGGAAATATGGACCAAGTGGGAAAAGAAAAGCAGGGCTAAGTCGCACGTAAAATAATTGAAAAGAAACTGACAGCCCTCTGGACTTATAACAAATTTCAAATTGTTTCTTAAGAACGAATCTTAATAACACTCTGAATTTCAAACAAAGAAGTATTATTTGCGGAAAAGTCTAAAGAAATTTGAACATTGAAAGAAAACGCAGTAAATTTTCAGTAGATTGTCATCTAAGATTAATTATTCATAGCAACAACGTCATCTTCCAATGAACACGTCTAGTCATTGGACTGTAAGATTTATGATAAATACAATTAACTTTGGGTCTAATGCTCTTAAGTTCAAGTTTTTAACGAACTAGGTCACTGAGCTAACTAAAAACTTCAGTTTGTTTACAAAAAATGAGAGCTTGTTTTTGCAATTAGTATATAATATTTTTTATAAAAGTAATAAAAGATTAGGACCACTTTCTTAAGAATGATGATCAGGATGTATTGTATAGGGCCGGTTGAAAACCAATAAGTTAATGGAAGCAACACTTCACAAACAGGACAAAAAATTACATGTACCGTCAGATATGAGTTAGTAGTTCCAGAGCTTATGATATAATTAATAATGCAATGGTGATGTGATGTTATTGGAACATTGCTGTTGACCGTGTGTTACAGGCGACCTGTTAAAGCTGCAAAGTCTCCAACCTTGAGGCAAAACTGTTAAAGGCAGTTGGTTGTTGCACCCAACCACAAACAAGCTTAATCACAAACCTCTTCACTGATATTGTCCATGTACATCAAGTCATCTGGTAGAAAACTTTCATACAAAGTGCCTCGAGAAGCTCGGTGTCTCTGTTGTGTGAAAGGTTACAAAACAGTCTTATATTAAACTTACAAAATGTTTCTTAATTACATTATAGAGGTCTATGAAGCCAGAAAATGCATAAACATGTGTACAATTTCATATTTGTTCAGCCATAAACTAAACATATAATTCTGTATCTGTTTTTAATTATTGAATTTTTTTTACGAACATCATTACTTTGTGCATTGACTTCAATAAAGTAGTCAATGTTAGATAGTAGTCTTTGTTAGATGTTATTACAGTACTAAAATTAGTACTCGCATTAGTACTGTAATAACATCTAACAAAGACTACTATCTAACATTGACTACTTTATTGATGTCAATGCACAAAGTAATGATGTTCGTAAAAAAATTCAATAATTAAAAACAGATACAGAATTATATGTTTAGTTTATGGCTGAACAAATATGGAATTGTACACATGTTTATGCATTTTCTGGCTTACCCCCATGTTAAACTGTTAGGTTAAACCGTTGAAAACCACACAGAGTAAGTATAATTTTTCCATTGCTTTACCTATAATCATTTAACAACATTATGCAGTAAACTAATCTCTACATTTTGATAAAATTATACATCTAAATATTTCCCCATGAAACTGAGAGGTTTGGTTGGTTTTAAAGATTTTTAAATTTAATAAAAATGTGTTTTTGTGCATCCCACAAAATGTACAATCAATAGTCTACTCTCAGCTGACAATACAAGTAAATCATAAATACAGATGAAAACCATCAACATTGCATGGTTGATAATATTATAACACATTTTCCCGATCATATTGTTTGACAAAACAACTAACCTGCAAGCTGGTGTAGCTGGAAGTGTTACGTCGCACACTGAAGCGGAATCGCTCGTGAGCATCAACGAAGCGGTAACGCAACAACAACGCTCGCATAACCGCTGGTTTGTCTTCTGGTGAGATTAGCTCTTCTACGACCATCTGCTCGACAATCCGGTATGAGATGCCTGGTAGGTCCTTCTCTTCTAGGTCTAGTAGGAGTACACCTGTAGGAAAAGAGAGTTAAGTTTTCTTTCAGGAAGAAAACTATCAACACTGAGTACTGTACTGTATTTATTAAAATGCAAGCTCTTTACATGTAAACAAGATGAGTTAAGAAACCCAGTATCTTACTACGAGTATACAAATTGCACACAATTGCTACTCATACCTGTCTCAAGACAACGTCGCAGATTGAGAAGGCTGTGGAAGCTGAGAGTAGCGACATGAGGTTTCCCCCACCTCTCCGCTCCCTCTTCCAAGTTCTCCTCATATTTGATCCACCGAGCTGTCTCCTTCCACTCTCCGAGCTCCTCTCCGTAGCCAATCAGCTCATTGAGTTGTACAAACACCTGTTGGCCAAAACAAGGACACTTAAAAAAAATAAACACTATATTGAGAAAGTAAATAAATTATCCAAATGAAAATTTTGATTCTTAGAAACAACAAAATGGAAAAAATAAAACGTTTTAGAAACAATAATGTACAGATGTGTTGAAAAGATAGCAGCCTATTTGTTTTTGAACAACCTTTAAATTAGATGATTTCATAACTCTGCTGTCTATAATGATCTAAATGTCCAGAAAATGATTCAACCCTAAAATAAAATAAGTTAAGATGTGTTTCACAAACAATTTGGAATAAAGTAATCTAAAGAAAAATACTGCATCAAGTACAACACTGAGAATAAATGAACTTATTATAACTACACTAAACTCACTAAATAGCTCAAAAAGAACAAACACTGAAAACCAGGCAGGTAATGATTTGTTTAAGAGTCTGTGCTCTATGCAATCTGTATGAAAGATAAACTAAAAAGTGCAGTCTAAACTACTTAAAAAGTGTTAAATATTCAAATACTTTTATTGCGTTAACACTAGGGATGGACGAGATTGGATTTTTAGTTCGAGACGAGACGAGACGAGATTTTTTATTTCTCATAAAATTTCGAGACGAGATCGAGACAGGATTTCCCTTCTCATACGCAACGGGAAATGCACGTTCAAAATTTTTACCTGATTTTGTAACATTGTTAGATGACTGTTTAAATACAAAAATAATGATAATAGGCAAGAATATTTACAATCTTTTATTAAAAAACATCAGCATAACATTTTTTTATTAATCACGCCTAACTTATTAAAAATGCCTACGATTAGGAAACATAGTGATATCAGTTAGGATAGAGTTCAACTTATCCTAAAATAAAATAAATCATAAAATAAAAACAATATTAATTTTTATAAAATAGTTACTTGTTTTGACTTTTTATAGTAATAAAACATTCCTCACACTGCTTACACTTAACAAAACTTCTCAAATGTTATTAAAGTAATATTATGAAAATAATAAAGTAATATTTACAACTACAACACGCTCTTGTATTGCGGGTATTGCATTGACTTTCTGCAGGCGTTTTTAATTTTTTTTTTTTTTTCTCGTCTCGATAAAAATCTCGGCCAAAAAGAAATCTCGTCTCGTGTAACGAGATTTAAAATTTCCCGAAAATTTCCCGAAATTTCGAGACTTGACCATCCCTAGTTAACACCGTTAAGTGCTTTTAGTATAGTAATTATTCAGTTAAAGATTATTTAAATTGTGGATTATTTAAAACAAGCTACCTTTAATGGAATATAAACTAAGGGCTAAACTAAAAAAAAGCTTTTAAAAATATAAACTTTAGTATTCTATGTAAGAAATCAGTTGATTGAAAAATAGCTAAACAAAATAATATAAAAAAAGATAACAATGTATAAAAACAATACAGATAGTATTTTACATTATTACATTAATTTATAAATAAAAAACTTTAAACGCACTAAACGTATAAAATATTTTATAAATATGTGGAGAAAATAAATACTTGTAAGATTTAAAACAAAAACGTGGGGCGCGTCCAATATCTAAAATTAAAAAAATAGTTTCTTAGAAAATGTAAACATTGAAACTTTGGATGCCCATGGGACGTAGCCCAAGGGAAATGTGAAAATAAAGTCATATCAGGTCCCTAGCTCATTGGGAAGTTAGTTTACAATCTATTGCAAAATTTGTACCGGACAAGAAAGCAAGCTAATAAAAACGTTATAAAATAGAAAGTTTTTTTTTGGCAAAAATATTATTAAGTTACATGTTTGTGTTTTTTGAACCAGTGTTTTCTATACCTAAACTCAACTGTAAGAAAAGTCGAGTTTAAAACATGAACATTACTTTAGAAATGTATACCTACCAAATATGAGTTAGTTTATTACAAATAGGCCTATGTAAAATATTTAAGTATTAAAACAATTTATCTATTTAAATTTTGATTACAGTTTTGTTAATCCAATTGCACTATTGCCTGGCCAAATAGAGAAAGGAGCCTTCACAGTCTCGCCATCCTCAAATCATTATCTATATACCCTTTAAGAAATTGTACTGAGCTTTCCTTGATTATTTGTTTATCAAGGCTAGGTGCCTGTTGGTTGTTTAATGTCTAGTGTTTAGTGCCTAGTTTAGAAACGTCTATTTTTGGATTTAGAAAATGTGTTGCACATTTTGTTATAAGCTGTACGGGAGGGTTAAACAACTCTATGCAATTGTGTTTTATACTCAATGGCATCACTCTTATAAGATCAGAGAGTACATAAACTTTGACCTTTTAAACCTGGTTTATTTGTTGGTTTTAATATAATTTTTGAAAATCCAATTATATGACACCCTCTCAGCCCCTAAGAGGTGGATTATGGAGAGCCAACAATTTCAAGTGTTCACTCTCATTTATAAACAGCAACCAATCCTGCTACATAAAGATGGACTGGTGAAAAAAAATTTGTCAAACAACTGTGTTGCTAGTTTTTCCTAGTTAGAAAGCTAATTAGAAGCTTAACTGATTCCTTTCTCTATAGTGACAGTTTCAAACCATAAATGTAGGTAACAATGATGCAAAATTATCAAAAAAATATGGCTTTTTGTGAGCAGAATTAAAGAGTAATATAAGCAAACACTACTTAATGAGTTAAGTATACCATAAAATAAATCCTTGAACTTGACTGGAAAATGAAAGAGATTATTAATAAATTTAGTATCATTAAGAAAATGTGAAATACTAAGTTAATACCTAAATGTCAATGCCTACTTAATTTCTAGATACTTCCTATGGAAAATGATTTAAAATATGAAGAGTAAATAATATTTATATGTGAATGTGATGACATTATATAATTCATAATGAGAATACAGATTATAGATAACATACAAATGCAAAGTGATAGTCCCTTTTAACATTTTGTTCCTTCAGTTACAGTTTTGAGTTAAAGGCACTTAAGAAGGATAATTGTATTAGATCGAGATCAAGTTAAAAGTCTGGTTATGAGAAAACATCTAAATATTCTGGTTATGAGAAAACATCTAAATATGTATAGCGTATGTAATACATATAGTCATAAATAACAAGTCAACTTGCTCAACGTAATGTTTATGGTTATGGCTTTTTTAATAACATACTAACCTTGTGTGGACTGTGATCAAACGACTTCTTGTAGGAGTAGAACGGCAGAGTCTGTGGAATCATTGAGCTTTTCCTGCTCGTATCTCCAATAGAAGCCATCGATACTCTGGACTTGACACTAAACCTTCGTATACCTCGGGGCACATCAAATCTATGACCTGCGATCAAATATATTTTAAGCACTTAAACGTTACTTAGGCGTAAAAGTCTGTTGATAACTTCCAAACGATAAATTTTTGAATGCACGCTTCAAATATGTTAAGGCAATAAACACCCTTTATGACAATACGATCATGTTGCTCTGTATTTCCACTTACTTATCTAAATAAAGTTGAACAAACTTCAAGAATGGTATATACTCTGCCTTTTACATACAGTCATCAATATAATCATTAATAATTAATTAATAATTTCCTTTCCCTTTTAACATTAGCACCTGTGTAACTGATCTGTATTTACATGCATTCACTGCACAACAGGCTTAAATTAATTTTTTATAAAATCAGGAATTAAGAGTGTAGAATTTTCTTCCTGGTTACATTAAAAACATAGAACACAATGTAAGGTTTGATGTGGAGCTTGAATCTGTTATTTTGAGGAGCAGGCATGAGTAAGTGTTCGGTTTTGATTACCAAGTCATTTGACAGTTTTTGTGCATGGGCGATTTGTGATGAAATTATTTGAGACTAACCTAAGGTTCATTCATATATGGACAGGAATTGCCAGTCCTAAAATGCTTTTTAAGAAAGGCATTTTATTTTGTTATTAAAACAGTCGCGATATTTATTCAAACATGAAATTTTAACTGCTATATTCCTAGTATAGTTAGGGACTACAATGTTATTTATACATCATAAATCATGACATTTTCCATTTTGATTGGAACTTACTAGTGAGGTCATCCTGGTCCACCTCTTGTAAATTCTGAGCTTCTTCAGGTTGGATGCTCATCCTGCGGTTGTCCACAGCCAAGAAAGCTCCCGACTTTTTCCTCCATCCAGGGTCTTCTTCCGAGTATTTCTTGTGTTTTCTGCCAAAAGTCACATATTTTTTAAGACAGTTACTTAGCAAGGCCTCTTGGCCTCAGTGGCGGATTTTATTTAGCACCCTTTGGCAGGAGAGTCTACCATGGGTTTGGAGTGTTTGAAGCATCCCTCTAGCTGGAGGGGACTGAGGAACCTTTATCTGAAATTTTGAAAATTTAATTAAAGCAGCTCCCACCTGCTTTTTACTAGCCACTGGTTCATAATCAGTTTCTGAAAATGTTATTTCTAACTCCACTAATTAGTTTTATTAATATTTATGTGTAATCTTTCTTTACCTATGTTTTCTCCTTTTCTTTTCACTGTCTTCCAGCATGTCCTTGTCTCTTCTTCTGGCATCAGATTCTTCAGGTGTATCGCTGAGACCATCTCAAGGAAAAAAAACACCAGTTAATATAAGTTATGTTGAAGTTTATATAAAATACCAACTTTAAACATTCGTTAATGGAAGTAGTTTACTGACTTATGTTAAACAGTAAGGTGTAACACCATTCATATAACTGATTTACAATCAACTGATATAGCTGAATATAAAATATAACTGATTTCATAAATTTATCAAACCGGCCCAACATTCGAATTTTGATCATTGCTAACAAATAAAATAGGACAACAAAAAAATAGCGCGACGTCCAGCACAATGGGCCTTAAGAGTGGTCTCTGGAAATCTAATGCTTACGTTTCTTTCTTGGCTTCCCGTTTTTTGCAATATAGCTCCAGCTAACACCAGATGCAAAGAGGAATTATTAAATAAGTATTAAAAGATCTTATTTGCTGCTCATACTTCAAGTCTGATATTTTAATAATTGTAAATTCGTCAACAAAATAAACATACATCATAATACAAGGTATCCTATTTTTTTCTCAACAGAAAAATGTGATAATGTGGAGACTGATGCAGTACAGTATTATCTTTTCAAGAATTTCTTATTATTTGGCCATTAAGTAATATTTTACAGCTAACTGTGACATGACTAACTGTGAGGAAAATATAACAAATATCCCAATTTTTATCCGGTTGAAAAGACCAACTTAAGTCTCTTAGTCAATAGACTGATTGATTTTTTCACTAAATCTAACAATACCACTAGCCTACATTTTATTTTCTAAATAAAAATTTGAAACCCGTAAATAACTAAACACAGGTTTAAAGATCAAGAATCAAGAAGTTTATTGAGTAACACAAGCTTAATTTGTTATACATGAGCTTTTAATTAAAATATGTTAAACTTTGTCAAGTTAACTCACCGATATCAAACTGAACCCGGCGGTCAGGTGAGAACGTCTCCGTGATCTCTGACAGTTCGATGGTGGGAGCAGCTGGCTCATCTCCCAAAGGAGGGGTGGGTGGGGGAGGGGGTGAGTCATCTCTACAGCTCTCATCCGGCTCATTGGTGCTGACGGCTCGCACTTCTTCTGGGCTGTAATCACAATACTGAGTAATTACACAAATTAATAAGTTTGCAAAATTCATTTTTTCAAGAAGGCTTAAAGCGTACAAACCAGTTACTAATAAGGCATTTGTGACATTGTATTCGACTATGTTTCATTACAGAATATATTTTTTATCTTGTTGATTTGCCAACTAAAATCGCCAATGAAAAGGAATTTTCTTGGTATATTATTACATAATGATGAATAATATAAATAAATTTAGTCACACTAAAAAAAGGCTGGATGGATTCGTAAAAAGCCATAACCTAGCCATCGGCTAAAAAGAAAAAAAACCCCAGATTTTTGCCACTTTAATATATATTACTCTAGAAAGAAACATAAACAATATTCTCTTGAATACAAGAATATCAGTTGTCCCTACAGACTCAAAGCAACAGACAAAAGCTACAATAGTATCAAATGTAACAAACTGGTACATATTTCACAAACCTTTCAGTTAAGACTTTAGCATTGCAGGGAGATTGTTTAGGAGCTGAAAAACTTTTCTAGATGCAATTAATTTTAAATTTAGGTCAAAACCGTGTCACATTTGTTTCTACCAGGTTAAATAGCTTGGTGAATTGGTTAAACTGGCTAAAAAAGTTTGCTTTCCCAGTTATTGCTTAAAAAGGTATTTTAAATATTCCAATACATTGTAAACAGTAATTTAATTTTACCAGGAATTTTTTAACTTTAATTATTTACTTTCTTTAATTAATTATTGATTGAATAGACTGATAAATTTCCTAAATATGGTTTATTTAAGGAGGAATCATCCCCAAAACAGTGTATACACAGCTCCCACTATGAAAATGAAGTATTGAATAAACATTACAAAAATAATAAGAACTTAACACTTTGATGTGATAACTACAGCGGATGTAAACATTGCGTCTAACTAGATTATCACCTGACTGGGACGGACTCGTGGACATGACTTTCCTTGTAGATAAGTTAACACTTTGACGTCAAACATTTTTAATTGTTTCCTTCTGGTTCTAGGCTAGAAAATTCACCCTGTTGGTACAAAACAAATAGAGCTACCGCTATATAGTCGGCTAAGCGGTTATTTTTTTAAATTTTTTTTACTGTAGAGGCTATACGATAGAATACTATGCATTCTAAATGCCCATTTCAACATACCTCATCATCATCATACATACCATCCATCATACATCATACATACATCAGCATACCTGCTGTCATAACCTCCTCTATTACAAGGCGGCGGCAAGTCAGAAGTGACAATGCCATAGGAATGGCATATAGAAACAGCTGTTGCAGTATTTTATAATGTAGCGTCTGCACAATGATTATGTTATTCCTGTTATTACCATGGCATTAGGTGTGAAGTTGCCACACACCAACGTCGATCCTATAGAAGAAGCTAAGCTGCTGTACAAGTTGGTTTTAGATCTAGGCACAACTGTTGTGACCAAGTTATTGTTATTTTTTCTATCATTGAGGAAAGGAAAAAATAAAAACCTATCATTTTTTATCTAACTGCAGCATTTAACAGTCTTGAGAAAATACCTTGACAAGTTTTACAATCTAACTATTATAATATTACTTATTATGTCTCAAAAAATAATGCAGAGTATACTTTAAAAAATCCAATAGTTGTTTCCCCCAGGAGTCAATTCTTGCTCCATTGTTTTTTTTATTTTTATTTTATTTATTTTTTTTATTATTTATACTGCTGACATACCATTTAATCTTATATGAAAATGTCTTTATGCTGACACAATACACACAATAATATACAGGGTGAATAAAAAGTCAAGACCCCCCTCTCTATTTTTTTTCCTAGTCAATATACAGAGATATCCTTATGGGGGTCGTGCAATCTTAACTGGAAGTTTCATTTTATGATTTTAAAACTTATAAGTGTCCCCCCAAAAGGGGGGATTTGGGGGGCAACTCAAATATTTTAAATGTAAACCCCCTTCAAGTGACACCTCATTTTGAAGTGTTTACAAAAACATAAGGAATGGTGAAAACTAGAGGTCGCTATCTCTTCTCTATCAAAAATGGTAGCCCGTCAAATGTCGTGGAAAATCAATGGTTAATATTGGTTCGTAATTGTAATATTGGCTACAATTTTAGATAGAGAAGAGATAGCGACCTCTAGTTTTCACCATTCTTTAAGTTTTTGTAAACACTTCAAAATGAGGTGTCACTTGAAGGGGGTTTACATTTGAAATATTTAAGTTGCCCCCCAAATCCCCCTTTTGGGGGGACACTCAAAATTTTCAAAATCATCAAATGAAACTTCCTGCTAAGATAGCACGACCACCAAAAGGATACCTCTGAATATTTACTTGGAAAAATATTAGATGGGGGGGTCTTGACTTTTTATTCACCCTGTAGTGTCTTAATATTGCCACATCATGCAGGCATAAGAACATTTTAACTTCTTGTAATTATTGTTTCATAAATTTATAATTATATGATAATAATACTGTGTTACATATCCAACCTGGAAGATGGACTACTTGTAATATCTAATGCTGGAGGAGAGTCCAAATCTTCTGCTGTCTCTCTCTGTTCTGACTCCTGTAAAACAACAAAATTAAAAACTTGGATGCAAAGCAAACTTATGCAAAACAGCTGTTGTCAAACTAAGTACAAACAAAACTGAACAAACAGAGTGTGTAACAAATAATTTGATTTCGGTTCTACGATATTTGTTAAAACAAATTACAAAATTTGAAAGACACAACATAAAAGACTAGTTCATAATGATTATTTTTTTAAATAATGCAACTGTTTTTATTTTATCAACTTGTAATTTTGCACTGCACAATTATTTGTCCATCACAAAACTTCATTTATCTAAATTCATTCTTGTCAAAATAAAACAAAAAGCTTAGGTATTAATACCAAAACACTAACCTCATGTCCTTCATGGCTCTCCCGAGTTGAACTGGTTCTTTTTCTCATAGACCGAGAGTGCATAATTTTGAGCGGCATATGGATATGGGGGTAGTTCTTCCCTCGGTGAGCTGTGAACAAATTCAAAAAGTTAGAAGTAACTATGAAAAAGTTACATGCCAAAACTTTCTTATCATAAGGAAGTAAGTATTGTACACTCAATAAAGAAAACACAGCAATGTGGTTTATTACAGCTTATTCACAACCTGCTTGAACTAATCAGTCTGATTTGGATGCGGGTAACAGCAAAAAAGCAATGCATTTCAAGCACACTGCAGATAGGCTTGTAAAGAATAAATAAACTGTAACCAACTTTTTTATTTTAACAGGTCATAAATCCCAGTGAACCAGGTCATAATTTAGTACTTTGAAAGTAACTCAAACTTTTCTCCGGACTACACAGGGAACAGCACTACAGATACTATACTCTGTTCACAAAATTTGGCGGTTTGAGGGGAATTTCCCCTACTACTTTTTTTTACTTTATATGGATGGCACAGCTGATTTAAATTTTGGCAAACCTCAGCTGTTGAGCTATTATTTTTAAAAGTAGGTTTAAGTGGAGGGGATAGATTTCTTCCCCTAAAACCTCCTACATTTTATGAACGGAGTATAAGTGAACTCTAATGCTTAAGCCAACCGACTAAGTTAAGTGCCATACAACTTTATTGATAAACTAAACAAATTCATCTCATACATTTTTATCAGTCAAACTGTTGGGTGGTTTATTGCCACAATAGGATTTTCAAAAATAATTGATAACAATGAATAATTCACTACAAGGAATATTAACTTTTCACACTGCATAACTAGAGAAAATCTTAAGCCAATAGTCTTAAAAAAACAAATTGTATGTACCTACTAAAGCTATAGTTAGCTGCCAGCATCAGATTATATCATGGTTATTATCACAAGCTTACATAACAACCACCTACATAGGGTGGCTCTTCCTATCAAAGGGGTTGATTATGTTACTATTTTGATACAGATATTGGGTTTCGTATTTAGGTACAAATATAGGTACACAATGTCTTTAGATCATTTTAGAGCTCTTATTCAACAGGTTTAGGTATAGTAAAAAAGGAAAATAAAATCAAGTTTTCAAAGATGGCACAAGTAAAAAAAAGTAGGCCTATAGTTGTAAAAACTGTCTTCATTGTAAAATTATTCTCAAAAATAAAAGACTTCTATTAAAAATACATACAGTAGGCCTATAAAAAAATTTTGTCAGCACTAGAATTTTTGTACAACTTTGTATTTTAAATGGAGTTATCATTAACATCATGTTAAATTAGTTATGACCGATGCCAGACAAGCCTTAATCTAATGATTTTGGTCTCAATCTTTTTTTCATTTTTGGCAAAATATCTGTGAGTAGATTCAGGGTATCAATAACCACGGACTGGGAAGAATAATGGAGACCTATTAGTTATTGGAGAGTGGTATTGACTTTCTGGAAGAGCTCATTTACAAATATCAATCAAAAATATCTGCAAGGGACATCTAGATTCAAACTAACAATATACCACTCTGAAAGTAAAAGGAAGAAATGTTTATGTAATACTAAAAATATTGCTACAAGATGAGCATTGAGGATATTTTTTATAACAAAAGTATATTTTTTAATGGTTGGTTTATTTACAGAATGATATTTATTTACAGACGATGACGCCATTGTAATTTCTTGACGAAACTGCAAATCAAGAATATTGTTATTTAATTCAATTTGATTATAATTTTTTTTAATATGGGCAGGTAAAGGTCAGTTATGGGCATCAACATATTTCCTTGTTAGGATTTTAGTAAAATGCATTTCTTAAGGAATTTGATTAGCATTCTTTTTTTATGAGCCGGTAAAGGGTAAAGTTATGGGCAACAACATATTTCCTTGTTAGGATTTTAGTAAAATGCATTTCTTAAGGAATTTGATTAATATTGTTTTTTTATGAACCGGTAAAGGGTAAAGTTATGGACATCAATATATTTCCTTTTAAGGTTTTTAGTAAAATGCAATTCTTAAGGGTGATGTTTTCAGTCTGCATTAAAAGTTAACATGTTTCTTATCGGCTTTAACATCCCACTCCAATGGAACAAATCACGTTAAAAAGAAAAATGGTATAAAGCCGCGTTTACACCAAAGTTGACAACCAAAAGTTGACAACTAAAAGTTTACAACTAAATGTTGCTCCTTACTAATTTAGAGTAACTAGTGGAAAACTTGTTGCCAAAGAACAGGCACGAAATTATCAGTACAGTTACACAGTTGTGTCAAAGGATGTCGTTGGACGAAGAAGACACAATCATTCCTAAACAGAAAATAATGTGTACTTTAGTTACGTTATTGAATCAGCAATCTGACACATACTATCTCCCATTAGCTTGTCAACTACCATTATCATGGATAAGTGATTAGAGTAATAATGATATTTAATAGGTATTTAGTAACTATGTAACTATGATATTTATAAATAGGTAAAATTTATAGGTAAAATTTCAAAAGTCTCACTAACTTTGGAATCGTAACTTTTACAGCAATCAGGCTGCAGCAATAAGGGGGGGGGGGGGGGCTGCACTATATTGTTTAGAACTATAAGGACCTCAAAGGTAGTAATTCAATCAAAAACGGTTTTTTTTTTATCCAATAAATGTGATTTTTTTATGGAGACATTTTAGTGTAAATCAAATCAGGCAAATGGAAATTCACTTAGTCTGCAGGTTTGCTGCGGCGGGGTATTTTGTTTTTTTATGGGGTTTTATGGGAAAATGACTTAAGTTACAATAACTTTTGAACCGTAATTTTACAGGAATGGGAGCGCGCGAATGGGCGCGCGAATGGGGGGGGAATGGGGGGTGGGAATGGGCGTTTTTTTGGGAATGGGCTTATACTGTTTTTTTTTTTTTTTCAGAATTTAAAGGGTGGCTACAACATACTAAATCTTTATTAAAGTCGTTTCAGCCATTTCCGAAAAAATCAAATTTTCCGTCTTATCATGAAAAAATCACCATTAAAAAACAAAATTTCAAAAAAATTCAAAAATACCTGGAAATATTATGGATTAGTACCTACATACAAATTTTAATCAAAATCAGACCACAGGCGTGGTCTTTTTAGCTCTGTACACATCCAGAGTTATTAGGCCTAATTAAGATATTTAAATAGAAAGATAGCTAACATTTACCCTATTATAATAATTAAAATAATTCAATAATACACATTTACAATATGTGTACTATATGGGAGGGGGGATGGTTCTCCGCTAGTTTTCTACAAGTTGCTTGCGCAAAACGTGTAGCAACTAGTCTTCAACTTTTTGTTGTCAACTTTCTTTGATCTTACCGACTCTCTGCGGGAAACCAAAATTAAGTGGAAAACTTGTTGCTCCACTAGTTGACGACAGAAAAAGTCGCTGCATTTTGTAGAAAAAGCAACAAGTTTCCGAAACTAGTCGAAAACCTGGTTGTCAACTTTGGTGTAACTTGTGTGTATTTTGGGCTATAATTTTCTTGGCTTGGCCAACACTTGAATTCGGATGATCATGGCCATAAAATTTTAACCAAAATCAACTCAGAAGTGTAGTGTATGCTTTGACATGAAGGAGTTATTGCTGTAATTTACCAAGTATATATTTCACTTATGAAACTCTTATATTTTTTAACTCTCACTGTGTGCATATTTTCTTTCTAGTAAAATTGTGTTTTGTGTTTCCTGTATAGCGTATTAAAAACGGAGGATTGGTCATTTCATGACAACTCTTCCTTGTTCATACGACATGAATTTGTCAGTACAGATAGTGTCGAAAACTTTGATTATAGTGACGTATGTATTCAACATTCAAGCTATGCTATGAAATAACTGAAACACGGAAAGAACCGTCTTAGATTCGTCACTCACAGCTGTAGTCTTGCTCATCAAACTTGCGCAAGTCGGGCAGCGACTCCGGGTCGTTGGAGATGCTCGCCAAGTTGAAGCGCTCGTTGTCGGACATAGCAAAAACTTTCTCCATCTCCTTGTCCAGATCAGTCTCTGTTGCTGCCCCATCGCGATCACCCTGGAAAACAAAGGAAACTGGTCAGTTACAGTAGCTATAGCTTATGGATTGGGAGCAGAGTGGTTTTGTTAGCTCTCTTAAAAATCCGGCCGCTAGTTCTGTCCTGAGAAAAGTTAATAGTGTTTTGATGATTTATAACTCTGCTTAGCTGTCCTTGGCTATTTGAATTTTAATTAACAAATGGTGCTGGCTAAGGAAACAGCTGATCTTAGTCAGTGACAAAGCTATCACCTCATCCGTTGAACACTCATCGTCCAGTCATCTTCATTACAGTACGATACAAGAAATCTATTCTAAAACTAAGAGATGGAACAAGTTATAATAAATTACAAATAAATGTCATCAAATGCAGCCGCAAACCAGAGAAAACTCATCAGTTATGGTAACAAAACAACAAGGTTGAGGTCAAATACAGGTTACCAAACAGACAAAACTAGTGACATGACCAAATAAGCTGTCAAAAGAACGAAGTATACAAAACAGGACATTTAAAGCTACACAAGACAGAGACAGGGTCAGTTATAGTCACAAAACCGACAAAAATGGTCAGTAATAGTCACATAACAGACAAAAATGGTCAGTAATAGTCACATAACAGACAAAAATGGTCAGTTATAGTCTCATAACAGACAAAAATTGCCAGTTATAGTCACATAACAGAAAAAGTTGTCAATTATAGTCACATAACAGACAAATATGATCAGTTATAGTCACATAACAGACAAAAATTGTCAGTTATAGTCACATAACAGACAAAAAATGTCAGTTACAGTCACATAACAGACAAAAATGGTCAGTTACAGTCACATAACAGACAACAATGGTCAGATATAGTCACATAACAGGAAAAAAATTAGTCAGTTGATACTACACCACACAGTAAGTATTTAATGTTCATCATACAACAGATACAACAGATACAATAGATCAGTTACAGTCCTAATGCAATAAATGTTCAATTACAAGTATAAAATACCAAAACTGGATGATTTCAGGTGTAATAATGATAATTTATTTATATGGTTAAATGTACACATAACTGAGAAAAACAATCATATTCAACATGGCCAAAGATTAATAAAAACATCAAAAACCTATCTCTTGAAGAAATTAAAATAAAGTAAACAGTACCGTATCAGCAATCTGACACATACTTTCTCCCATTAGCTTGTGACAACCCTTATCATAAACAAGCAGTAGAGGTAACTATGATATTTATGGGTAAAATCACAAAAGTTGCAATATCTTTTGAACTAACATTTTTACAGTGGAGGGGGGTTAACAATTTTTCGTAGAGTTACATGGATTATAACATAACAAATTTTCATAAAAATTGGTCAAGTCAATTTTTAAATAAGATTTTCCATTATTTTATGGGTTTTTATGGGAAAATCACATAAGTTGCAATTACCTTTTGAACCGTAATATTTACAGCAATAGGGATTGTACAGTTTTGTTTATAATTAAAAGAGCTATACTAAGCTAAACATATTAATAATTGATATCGTATGTGTTGTATTGTAATAAGTTTTTAAGGAAAAAATCACCATAAAAAAAATTTAAATGCCTTGATATACCATAGATAGATCAGTACTAACACACCTAATGTCATCAAAATCTGACCACAGGTGTAATCTGTAGCTCTCTCTGTACACATCCACACACTTACTCACATATCCACATAGCCTACAGACATCACTTCGATAACAGCTTTTTGGATCCAAGAGGACCCAAAATGGATAACTCCACTTAAAACTCAATCTAAAAAAAAAATTTGACGAAAAAATACTTTCTTGATGTACTTATGTATAGGGGAAGAGAGAAAAAATGTATAAGCATGGACAAACAATGAATTAACAGATGCATATACCACAGATGCATATCAAGTACAAAACTAATCAATCATAGATAGAGATATGAAAGGTGCAAAACTTAATCACCCTGTATACAAAACGACTATTCTTAATGCTATTGAGAAAACAACAACAACAAAAATGTGGATTATAATTACACCAAGAGAAATAACATTTCCTTCTGCGTAAAAGGAAACATAGATAGGCCTATATGTAAAAATAAATCGCTTACGAAATTATTTAAAGTCCACCAAGAACCTCGAAACAAAGACATGCCTATCACAAACTGTCATGAGTTAAACTGAGGTTATTATCAGACTTGAATCACATTGCAACATAAAACACTTATCTAACAATAAATACCTCACACTGTCATCCTGAAATAGAATTTTGTCACACTATTTATAGGCAAAAAAATATAAAAAGAGGAAATTGTCAAATATTCCTTTTAAATAAAAATTATTTGTTAGCATGACCAATGCTTGATTTCCATCATGTACTTTTGAATCATGAAAAATATTATATTGGAAATCAGTGACTTTTTTGTCCTAGGATGCTAGGGCCTCTAGCTTGGACTTCGTATCTCATATTAGATCAGGCTAGACCTAGGGGTTGTGGCATCATCACTTAGATCAAATACATTGGTGATTTGGCGGGATTTAAACCCGACACCTCAAGGACCGAAGTCCCGCGCTTTACCATTAGACCATCATGCTCGTGACTAACTGTCTTAGTAATGAATTTAGAAAACCATAATAACATGAAGAATTGCCTATTTATAAAACTAAAAAAATAAAAAATTCTGGGAGTTTATTTAATGAACTAGCGTTAGTTAAAAGACTTTTTAATACAAAGTTATTTTCTTTTCTCATCAGTGTTACTATTTTTGGAACAGCACAAGTATCAAAGGTCATCCATCCATAAAAATGAGAAGTTCAAAGGGTATAAAGGTAAATGTCAAACGTCTAGCATCACAAGTGAAGATTTTTTTTAGTTTTGTCAGTTTTAACTTCCTAAATCTTGTTTGTATACAAAAATATTACTCCACTTTTTTATCAGGAATCGCTAATTCAATCTTTGGAGCTTTTCTATCTATTAAGAATACATCCAAGCCTCATTTGTCTTGTTCTTCAATAAATTGTTTTTTTCAAGCAGCACTACCTTACAGTTATTTTTCAACAAATGAGAATGTGAAAAATTATATAAACAACAAGACGAAGTTATACAATAATTAGTGATCCCTTTTGACATTAACAAAAGCTTATAACAAAAATTACTGTACGTCCGTTATTCAAATTAGTTTTATTTCAAAACGTTTTAACGTAAATAAGGTCAGTAAGATGTAGTTCGCATAAAACCAAATCGCATTCTAGTTTTTAAGTAGGACAAACAGATTAAAAGATGGAGTACCTATAGACAAAGTCCCAATCTGTATAAGCAAGTTCTGTTGTGTGTGTCTAACGTAGGTAATAAAGGCAGGTCAACCAGGCGTAAAGTCACACTAGATAAGTTACATGGAAGCATAACTGTGCCTACACAACACACTCCTTACTACTTGCGTTACATAGTTCACACATCGTGGCATAATACATTAAAATGTCTTTTATACTTACCTACGACAGTTTTGTTTTTGGTTTAACTAGCCGTCTCAGTTCAGTTCTTAGAATTTAAAATATTCACTTAACAGCATTGTGTTACATACTTAACAGCATTTTTGTTTTACTTTACAACACGAGTAACAGACCAATGGGGTTCATGGATTGAGAAAAAAGAAGTAAAATTGTAATACTTCAAACGTCAACTTATCAGCTGCTAAGACAATTTTAATTGATTACACAAGCAGGTCTGGTGGTTTGTATTAACAGCTAAAAGCTGTTGGTTTGTATTAAAAGTTTTGTATCGAACAACTCAAAGAATTTAATCTAGTTGCCACCAGGAAGCTCTCAAGTGAAATCCGCATTCGAACTTCTCGCTTGGTTTACCCACTACCTACCTCCTCTCCCAAAGTTCTCGATCAAACTAGTAGACTAAAGTTCTGACCAAACTCATCGCCCAAAGTTTGCTAAAAAAACTCTTTGTCCTACGTACTCGACATGAGATCTCAACACACGAGTTTCCTCAACGATTACGTGGACTTCTGGTTTTCAACCAAACTCCTAGCCCGAAGTTCTCCACCATAAGAAAATCTCCCGAAACTTATTACCGAAAGTTAATTTCCCAACTTATGGTCTGAAATGCTTCAAGCAAATGATCAGACGAAGTTCTGTACTAAACGTATCGCCCAAAGTGTTCCACCAAAACTAAATCATACTAGGTGTGCAATACGGTTGTATGCTTGCAATATTGAGCGGAGCTAGCATATTAATCCAATACTTTTCTAAAGTCAATTTTACATCTGTTCCTCGCAAATGAGATTAAATACTTGCAGATCAAATGTCAATGGTATATTTGGTTCACTTAAATGGAATGTCTATTTGCAGTATTCTAAGTCAATTATAAGTCTGATTCACGCAAATGAATTGTCTACTTGCAGGAACCAAAGTTTATGTTTCATCTGGTTCTCATATATTAAATGTCTAATTACAGTATCCAATGCCAATGATACATTTGTTTCGGATAAATAAAATGCCTATTTGCATTATCCTAAGTCAATGGTACGCCATTGACGGTTTACATAAATGGAATGTCTATTTGCAGTATTCCAAGTTAATGATACGAATTATTTACTTGCGGTATCCAAATTCAATGATACGTCGGGTTCACGTAAACGAATTGTCTACTTGGAGTATCCAAACTCAATGGTGCATTTGGTTCATGTAAATTAATTGTCTACTTGCAGGATCCAAAGCAGTGGTTCATTTTATTCACATAAATGGAGTGTCTATTTAATGGTGCATCAGCCTTATTCCACCGACCATAATTATTGGTATTTCATTTTGTAGTAAATTATACTCAATGATATTAATCCGATTGTTCTTCCCTTTTTCTCTGTACGGTATTTGTAATATGCTATTTAGATGATTCTTTGACTAACATATGTTGCGACTCTTGTTTACCTTTTTATTGTTATCTCGCAAATAATGACATGGCAACCAATTAACCCATAAGGCCGATGTTAAATTTCCAAAAGTTTGAATTCACGTAGAG